CTCATATTCGCTGCTTCGGGAGACTATGCAATGATGGAAAGATGACTTTCCCTCTGTTTATTTCATTCTCCCAGTGCCACAGTACTTCTCTTGTAGTAATTTATTTCTTTAGTTCATTTTTTTCCTTAGTGGGAAGAATCATTCCCCACACTGCTTTCAAGCTGAACTGAGCCCATCTCATTCTGGAAAAGAAATGCTCTGTCCAAAAGAACTAAGCAGCTGCATCTATTTTTTCTACTCTAAATTCATCTGTGGTTTTGGGGCAATTTTACTTGGCCAGAAAGCAGTGTTTGAATACTTGAAACTGTGTGATGTTCTATTTAAGTTCTGTAAGAATGTTCTTTTGTAGATCACATGCCATGATGTAATCATCTATCACCACATCTGTTATCAAGTTACACTGTGAAGTTTGCTACCACTTTCCAGGTGGTCAGATTGCTTGTTTAACCAAGTGTCCTACAGCATGTACCTGAGGTTATATCATTTTTTTTATTCTAAAAGGCTATGCAGCTAATATTATGAAAACTATTAAAAAATATATACCACTGTTGATACAATTTGTGACCATTATTAAATGGGGAGTGTAAAAGTTGTGCTAGGAAAAGGATCTTTTCAGCTGTCAGTAGTTATTCTGTGCAAACATGACCCCATACCTTCCAGTAACTTAATTACTCACCTGTAGTCGCATCCATGGTGCGTGGACTACAGCACGCTAGCCTAATGGCAGAGGGAAAAGGACAAGTTGGTGGAAACACCAAAAATGACTTGTAAAGATTCTGCACCACAGTGGGAGTTCATTTAGTCTGTAACCTGCACTACAGTGTTGTCACAGACCAAACACTTAACTTCATCCTACTCACAGTATTCAAGACCTATTTAAAATTCCTTCAGAGGTCACTGTTACAAAGAAAGTGACTATTCATGCTGCTTAGTGTGAGTGTCCTTAATCTTGTCCTTTCTCTCCCAGCATTCCATGCATTCTTTGTCATTCTCTTACCTACTTACACCTTGCTTAGATAAGCTCTCCAAGAAGAGAGTTCCTGGGGCCTCCCTGGTGGTGCATCCACTGCAAAATCCATAGCCAGGGAGCAGCCCACATGGCACAGCAGACCTCTCCTGCCATGCCCGCTGCTTCCCTCAGCAGTGTATTTCAGTCACTCTACCTGTTCTGTTCCCCACTCTGTCTCTGGTGAATCCTCTCTGCCTGCACCCCAGCTCTTATAGGCAGAAATAAATCTTTAAAAAAAAAAAAAAATAGAAGAGAGTTCCTGTGATTAAAAACATTGACGTTACCTCTAAGACTACACTGAACTTAGATAACTTCCTATCCCAAAGCATGAGTCTGAGAACAGAGAGAATATGCTTAGTGATAGCATTGCTAGTGTCTAGCAGTGTTTCTAATTGGGAAGAAATAGTGTAAAAATATGTTTTTATATTTATGGATTCAACACTATCAAAACTAATAAAGACTAAGATGATTTGGAGGGAAATCATACAAAGTATTTCTAACGGTCACACAGAACCTGCTTTCTGCCCAGGTATACTTGCCTGGCTGTGATGGAGGCGGCGGAGAAAACCTAGCAGCAGTGATTCTCTCAACAATAGACATCTGGAAAGAAGCACCGTTTGCACTGAAGATAGGAAATTCTTTTCCAGGAGGGGCAATTCACTGCTAACATGCCACACAAGGAAGGGTGAAGAACTCGGTTTAATCTAGAATGAAAAGCAAAGCAAAGTTAGAGAATGAAAAAAAAAAAAAAAATCAAGGGAGCCAGCAAAGGATGAGTAACTTGTGAAAAACTTGCCATTTGAAAAAAGCCTTTAGCAGGCAGAGCCACTGAAAATACTGTCACAAAGTGAAGATTTCTAAAAAGCCAGAAGGTGTTTTATGCTGTAGTCTCTTAAGTCACTGACTGCAAAAGGTAGTTTAGAGAACAAGAAATTCATTTTTTTTTTTTTAAGATTTATTTATTTATGCAAGCACTGGATAGTCAGAAGCGCGGGAGGGTGAGAGAATTCACCAGAGCTGGAGCAGGGAGCAGAACAGACTGACGAAGTACACTGCTGAGGGGAGGGGGGGGGGGCTGCTGGAGAGGTCTGCGCACCATGGGGGACCCTCACCAGCGGTGGGGGACCAAACCTGTGCTGCAGAGGCTGCAGGCAGCTTTGCAGCCCAGCGCTCAACTGCTGCGCCACCAGGGGAGGCCCGAGAACAGGGAATTCTTAAAGCACTCCCATGTCTTTACAGAAGCATATATATATATATATATATATATATATATAAATATATATGGTGTTTGAATCATTACGTTAGAAATTACAATACTTAGCAATTATAAAAGTTCTTCAGAACCTTAATAAGAAATATTTGTAAGAACCACAGGGGAGTAATTCTGAGAATAAAATAGCATACAGGGGCCTCCCTGGTGGCACAAGGGGTTAAGATGCAACCTATGAAGTATTCGCAGCCTCTGCAGCATGAGTTTGATCTCCAGCCAGGGAGCTACCCACATGGCGCAGCAGACCTCTCCTGACTTGCTCACTGCTCCCCTCAACAGTGCATTTCAGGGCCTCCCCGGTGGCACAGCGGTTGAGCGCTGGGTTGCGAGGCTGGCAGCCTCTGCAGCGCCGGTTCGATCCCCGGCTGCTCCCCGGCCACCGGAGGAGGGTCCCACATGGCGCGCAGACCTCTCCTGCAGCCCGCTGCTCCCCTCAGCAGTGTACTTCGCTTCTGCCTGCTCTGCTCCCCGCTCTGGCTCTGGTGAATTCTCTCACCCTCCCGCACTTCTGACTGTACCCAGTGCTTGTATGAATAAATAAATAAATCTAAAAAAAAAAAGAAAGAAACATTAAAAAAAAAAAAAACAGTGCATTTCAGTACATCTGCCCGCTCTGTTCCCCACTCTGTCTCTGGTGAATCTTCTCACACCCCATACCTCTGGCCTGTACCCCAGTTCTTGTATGCATAATTTTTGTAAATAGTATAAAATAACAAAAACAGCATAAAAAATCTAAGATGAAATAATCCTGAACACATTATTTAGACCCTGAAAGAATTTATCCAGAAAGGAATGATTTATTTAATACATGGTGTTAAAATTATAGTACAGCAGCGGGGGGAGAAGAAAAGTACCCATATACTGTAACAGGGTGGTCCCCAGGAAAGGGGGGGTGCCCCTTCTCCCTGTCCTGTAACAATATCATAAACCAAAATTCCAGATTTTTAAGTTTTTAAAGATTTAAAAAAAAATCTCTGAATGGGAGATGAAGTTGAAAAGCCTCAAAGAAAACTACATGTGATTATAGAGACTTAAAGCTATATAAATATCAAAAGGCAAAGCATCCATGTACAATCAGAACATACTGATAACCACTAACTGATCAAACTCAAGAACAGACAATTTACCAAATTTAAAATTTAGAATACCAAGGATTCTAACAAGTAACCAAATAAATGCTCAGTAAAGGGGTAAACAACATTTTGTAATATGTGTGGCTTATGTTGTAGAACAAAAACAACTTCGAGGAAATAAAGGCTGGACAGCACAGAGCTGTTCATTTCCTCATTATTAGTGATACACAGTTCTGAAAACCACTCTTAAGCAACTCGGTGATCCAGACTGTGACGTTTCACTGTCAAAAATCCAAGCATTTGACTCCCCCAAAACTACAAATAACCTGCTGTTGACCTGAAAGAAGCTTTATGGAAAAGAGCTAACACGTTTATATGTACTTATGTAACAGGGTGGTCCCCAGAAAAGGGGGAGGTTCCAGGTTTCCTGCCCCACCCAAAAGGAGGGTGGAGCTGAGCAGGGAGAGAAGAAGCTGCAGAGGAGACTGAGAAGGAAGGAAGCAGGATGGAGAGCCAGGAGACCTGGAGGAGGCACATGGAATGGACAGACATGTGAAGAAACTGTGCTTGCCTTTTGGTCGTGCACTGGGTGACACAGATGTGGGTGAGAGACCCGTGGGGAGGAGACCATAGCAGCTTTTATCTTGATTTTGCTCTTTTCCTTCTGGGCTTGTCTGGTTGTTTCTGACCCTTTTCTGTGGGTCCCCACTGGAAGATGCTTTAGACTTGTGGCAGGCTTTGGGGCCTTGCTCTGGCCCATTCCCATTTGGATGGACTTTTACCCACAAGGGTAACTTCGGGTGCTTGATTTAGAAACTAGATTCTTTGCCTTTCCTGTATTGCTTCCTAATTGTATTAAAGTCCCTTCCCATTAAAGTCTCATATGTTTTGTGTTGATGCGGCGGATGGCAGAACCCATTTAGAATAGGCAGTTTGCGGGGTTTGGGCTGCCCCTCTCCCTGCCCTGTAACACTTATACTGTATTCCTTAAGGAGAAAAGAGTTAACATAATCATAAGAGAAAATACAACACAGTACTATACTGTATTTATGGATACCATTCACTTTAAATTGTCTTTTTATAAGAAAAATGCCAGTATGAGTAGACACGCCCTCCCCTCACCCCCCAAACACACACACACACACACATTTCAATCCCAGGCTGTTTTAAGGGTCAACTGTAATACATTATAAAGACTACTACCCTGGAAAAGTGCTTGCAATACAAAAGAGCAGTATGGAAAAAAGAAAAAAAGACCAAGATGCAAATTTTAGGAAAAAAAGAACATTAAAATTTTTAGTAGTTTTAACAATACACATTTTCAAAAACTCAAAAGGAGCACACTGAAGCAATCACCCCCCAACCCCCAACTTCCATTTAATGAAAATCACTTACCAGAAACTGGTGCTAATGCCCTAACCATTCCTCATTATCACAACAATCTACGGGAAGAGTTGTTAACTCTTTTACTGGTTTTACTGAAGATACCATTTAGGCTTAAGACAAGTGAACTGCTCCTCTAGGCTGCCTAGCTCTTCACTGCAAACTCCGACCCTCGGGCTCAGTTCCAAACGACTGCGGGCGCTCAGAGGAGGCACCGCCGTCTCCCAGGTAACCAAGCTCGTCCCGCCCCGGGCAGCTCCTCCACTTCCGCTCCTGCGCAGTGGCGCTCTAGAGGGCCGCACAGACTGGAGGTCATGGCTGCTTCCCGTTTACCCCCGGCGACGCTAACGCTAAAGCAGGTACCAGCTGTTCCTTCTGGCCTGCCTGGGCAGCTTTCCGGGGACCAGCCTCAACTCTCCACGTCTCCCGCCACCAACATACGAGGTGCAGGGCCAGTCCCTGCACTCAGACCAGGGGCGTGCGCCCTCTGTGATGGGCCTGGGTCTGGGGACTGGCTTCCCCCTGCTGCTGGAATGTGGGTTGTGGGGGTAGGAAAGTGGGGTGGGGTGAGGTGGACTTTTTGTCACTAACTACTGAGGCCGACCAGGATCCTGAGTTGGAGTCCTGATGCCTCAGCTGGCTGATGGCCACAGTGGAGATTGCTCTGCCTGTTACACTGAGCGACAGCAGCAGGAGAAAGTGAGATTTTAACAATTCCAAAGGGTTTTAACAACTGCGTTCATTTAGAAAGAGTGCTATTACCTTAGAAAGAGTGCTATTACCGTGATTACAGCTTCAAGGGGACTGACAGCTCTCTTCCTATCCAGTAGTCACGTCTTGATTTTAAGGATTATTAGAGTTGATGAAAGAATCAGTAAACAGCCCAAATAAACGAATTGCCTTTTTTTCTTACAGGAAGAAAAAAAAGTTTTTCTTTACCCTTTTCAAAATTGAGAGCTAAAGAGAAGTCATCTGGTTACAAATTTGTTTGCTAAGGAGCCACAGCTATGTCAAGTGTAGATTTAACTGCCATCTCTCCTCTCCTGCACAGTTCATGAGAAGGCAACAAGTTCTCCTCCTCTACAGAAGAATTCTGCAAGCAGTTAGACAAGTTCCAAATGATTCTGATCGGAAATATCTGAAGGACTGGGCAAGGGAAGAATTCAAAAGAAACAAAAGTGCCACTGAAGAGGTAAAAACAAGGTCACGGTGAGGACAAGCCTTGGCCATTTGTGCATTTTTTAAAAGTTTAGTAGTTATCTTGAAATATGTCATTGATATGGTATATCTGAATCATTGTTCTTAATGTTACTGATTTTCCACTCAAAGGATACTTCAAATCTTACAACCTTTGCTGTACCTGCATTCTGCAGTAACATCACTTGTATTTTCTGTCATAGCATGTGTGCACGCGCACATACATCAATCATTGCAGCAGGAGTTTGGGAAAGAGTAGAGTATATATAAACCAGACATTTTGTACCCCTGTTGTCAGCTTTGGATTTTCCTAATATACAGCAGTTCTAATTCTTAATATCGGTTCCTGACTTAAATAAAAGAGTAGAGCTGTACCTTGCTTAACCAGGTGAAACAGTGACCATCTTTCACTTTTCTTCTACAGGATACAATCCGGATGATGATTACTCAAGGCAATATGCAGCTCAAGGAGTTAGAAAAAACACTTGCTTTAGCAAAATCCTAACTATAACATTATTCTGAAAGGTTTCCAGAGTTTGTATATGTTTTGTCTGGCTCAGGCTCCACAATGCCTGTTCAAAGCCACATCATTTGTATGTATAGTGCTTGGACAAAACATCAGAACATGGAGTGTGTCATGTCAAAGAGAGCAATGAAAAGCCCATCAGAACAATTGTCTTAACACTGAGAATATACCGTGTATTTTGAAAATGTTACTGGCTCTCTCAGCAGTTTTTGTAAGAAGCAAAGACCTGCACAACAGATGGACAACTGGCACATAAAAAGATGCTCTCCACCATTAACTGTCAGGGAAATGCAAATAAAACCACAGCGAAAGATACCACTTCATCTCCACAAGAATGGCTAGAATTAAAAAGTGAAATAATAACAAATGTTGGTGAAACTGTAGAAATATTGTGACTCTTATATATTACTGGTGGGAATATAAAATGGTACAAGCCACTTTGGAAAAAAATAGTTGCTCAGAAGTTAAAAAATATTACCATGTGACTCAAAAATTCTAGGTTTATAACCAAGAGAACTAAAAACATGTCTACCAAGAACTTGTACACAAATGTTTATAGTAGCATTATTCATAATAGCCCCCAAATCGAAACTATCCAAATTCCCATCAGCTGATAAATGAATAAAATGAAATATTTCTATAATACAATTTATCAATAAAAAAATGAAGTACCGATACTTGTTAAAACCTGGATAAATGTTAAGAATATCATTAAGTAGGGCCTCCCCGGTGGTGCAGCAGTTGAGCACTGGGTTGCGAAGCTGCCCGCGGCCTCTGTGGCGCCGGTTCTATCCCTGGCTGCTCCCCGGCCACCGGAGGGGGGGTCCCACATGGCGCGCAGACCTCTCCTGCCGCCCGCTGCTCCCCTCAGCAGTGTACTTCGGTCCCTCTGCCTGCTCTGCACCCAGCTCTGGCTCTGGTGAATTCTCTCACCCTCCCGCGCTTCTGACTGTACCCAGTGCATGTATAAACAAAACAAACAAACAAAATAAATAAAACATGCCTCTAGAAAAATTAAAGAAAAAAAAAACTACAAAAAAAAAGAATATCATTAAAAGGGGCCAGTCACAAAATATGACATGTATGATTCTATTTCTATGAAATGTCCAGAATAGGCAGAAAGATCAACAGATGCCTTGGTTCTGGATAGCACTAAGAGTAACTGCTGATGGCATGATAGTCTTTGTGGAGTGATGAGAATATTCTAAATTTAGCTTGTGGTGTCAGTTAATTCTGTGAATATACTAAAGTATGTAGAGTTGTACATTTTTACATGTGCAGTAAAGCTGGATTTTTCCTGGTTTTTAAGAATTGAGATATGAAAGATAACATGTAAATCAATAAAGCTGTTTTTATAAACAGTATGAGATATTGGACTGGAGGTATATTGACCTCAGTAGACACTCTGAAACTTACTTGAAAAATCCTTCTGCATTATCCCTCGGGGTTGTCGAAGTATATTCTTCAGATGTGTCATGAACTGGTAGAGAGAGGCCTCTTGAAAAGGTTGCCGTTGAGAATCTAGATCTTTGTCAGAAAGAGGAGAATGAGAAGCTTAATGAACACACAGAAGCACTTTACCAAAAAAGAGGGAAAACCTCAGACAACTTCTGGATGAGGCGAATACTATTACCTTAACATCCGCGTGAAAGAAGTAAAATCTTTAGGGAAGATCCTTAGTGCATTGGGTTATCCTCCAGTGACAGGAAAAAAAAAAGAATTTGAAAAATATGTTGGAGACAGAAGTTGACTTTAGGACACTTTTTTTTTTAAAGATTTATTTATGTATACAAGCTGGGGTACAGGCCAGAGGTGGGGGGGGGTGAGAGGATTCACCAGAGACAGAGTGGGGAACAGAACAGGCAGATTGACTGAAGTGCACTGCTGAGGGGAGCAGCGGGAGAGACAGGAGAAGTCTGCCTCGCCATGTGGGAATCTCCCTGGCTGGCTGGGGATCAAACTCGTGCTGCTACAGAGTCTGCGGATTGCTTCATAGTGCAGTGTTAGCCCCTTGCGCCACCAGGGAGGCCCTAGGACACTTAAAAGAGACCAAATTTATAACAATATAGTTAAAACTTGGGAAAAGGCTGGAATTGGCTGCCCTCTGCTCATCTATAGATCCAAAAAGTGAATCCAAGAATCTGACCAGCACCAGAAAGACAAAAAAGAAAATATCTAGTACTAGATGTGTTAGAAGCATAAACTGATGGCAGTGTATGTCAGTGACCTGCACTGTCAGGTTCCTCCCCTTCCACAGCCTCCCGGCCCACAAGACAAAGTAATTCTGAATACTCTTCTGCAGGGTAATCTAAGTCAAGATGTTTGCCTAAGCCAACTTCCAGATTTTTATACAGAATGTATGTCAGTCAACTTGTTGCAAAGCCCGTAATGAACAGAAGCAGCATTTGTGAACAATTTCTGAATAGACACTTGTTTTTTTAAAATATTTATTCATTGCATACAAGAACTGGGGTACAGGCCAGAGGTGTCGGGGGTGAGAGGATTCACCAGAGACAGAGCGGGGAGCAGAACAAGCAGACTGACTGAAATACACCACTGAGGGGAGCAGTGGGCGAGGCAGGAGAGGTCTGCCACGCCATGTGGGTATCTCTCTGGCCGGCTGGTATTGAACCCATGCTGCAGAGGCTGCAGACAGCTCCACAGCACTGAGCTCAACCACCTGCGCCACCAGGGAGGCCCTGAACAGACACTTTGGAAATGTTTGTTCTTTATTCTTTTTGTGTGGCATAACTGATATACATAAATATAGGCTGTCTCTAGCAAATCTAAACTCTTGAAGCTAAAAGTCATCCTTTTATGATGTGTACAAGACAGTGAATTGGTGATGTTCCTCCAATTCACTGACTTTAAAGCATTTAAAGAGAAAGACTTTAGAGCATTTGGATTTGTAAGATGAAAATACTAGACACCCAAGGAAAGCTAGCTTAGTTTGCTGTTTTCACTTTGTTTCTTAAAGTGGGTAAAATATTGTAGTTTGAATTCTTTCCAGAGGGTAAGATTGTTATAATGGAAATGAAATCATAAACTTTATGCTTTCAAGAACAGTTTAATATGTTCACTTAATGTTTTATCCCCTCTGAATTACAGGCCAAGCCTGTTGTTTTTTTTTTTCCCCCCAGCAGTTTCTTCTCAGATATGGAGACATGGGATTCACTAAAACATTGGCCAGAACAGAACTGCTGCTGAAGTATTTTATTCGTCTTCTATCAGTATTGTGAGTTAGACGAATTATCTTTCTGGATGTTCCCTATAAACTATACTTTTGTTTGAATGTTAAGGTTTTGTTTCTAAAGTTTAATTTCAAAATTTTTTTTAAATTTTTAAAAATTGAATTCAAAAATATTTCTAGTGTATGAAAGTGGCAAGACTATTATTTAACATAGCAACTGCACCTATACTATCTATGCCTTTTAAGTGGGCCATCAGGCTGGAGGTTTTAAATTCCTGCAACAGCCATTGATGTGGATAAATCTGCAGAGACAGAAGACTTTAATATTTGAGGCAAGCAAAACATTTCCTGGTATTTACATTACTATATTCATACCGGTAAGACACTCAGGAGAAGCTGAAAAGCAGAGACCCATACTTACCTAAATGAGGTTTTTATAAATAAGGAAAATGTTAGTGTTAAAAAAAAAAAAAAACCCAGAAGGGCAGCTCACATCTACCTTGAGAAAGATTACAATAAGTTGCAACAGGATCAAAAGCAAATTATCGCTGTGTCAAATTGGAAATCATAACAGACTGTTTTTCTCCTCGGCATTTGAGAAATTACATAAGGATTAAATTAAAGATTAAGTCCTTTCTGCCCATTCTATTTTGTACTAAAAAATAAGGTGCTTTTCTGTTCTATATCTTGCTTGTGTGGCTGATAGATTTAAAACTGAATATATATGCTCATATACATTCCTTTTTTCCTATTGATAACAGGTATTCTAAAATTTTTTAGATAGTTTTTTAAAAAATTTTGCCTTTTAAAAATTAATTTTGTCTTTTAAGTCCTGACTGATTCTTATAAGAAGAAATGTATTTAGCTTTTAGGAACAATTAGTCAAAAAATGTCTTATCTGAATACAGTTATAAGTGGTGTTTTGTCCTTCTTTGTTCCATATTTTTGAAAAGATCAACAATTTAAACATTTAAACTTGCATTGAGAAATCTCCCCATGTTACAGCAGACTTAAAACATTTTTTCATGCATCGAACTTGATATCTACTTTAAAACAGATGTATTTACTGTAAATGACATTTTTATAGAAATAGGGTGAAATGTAGCTGGATGAAGGCACTCTTTCAAGAACCACAAGATTTGGCCAGCCACACAAATGAAAACATAAGCTACACAAATTATTCACAATTTCATTTTTAAATAAGGGACGTCATACCCATTGTGTTGAGAACCATTTAATGCTTGGAGAACCATTTAATCCTACAAATTGTAGGTAGTAAAACTATTAAATAGAAGACCACATACCTCTCAAGGATCAACACTTGACTGAAAAGAAAGGGTAAGTATGAAAACATAACTTCCTTTATTTTGGGGTCCCAAACCAAAAGTAAGATAAGCACTAGTATTCGATTCTATCATAGCTACTGAGCATGCTCAATGCAATAATACATGGACAATATAAAAAAAAAAAAAAAACACTGCACATTGTTCAACCTTTCTGTGTCACATCATTTCCCCCAAAGCTATTAAAAGCTCCAGCTTCATTTTCAAACATTACCTACATGATGGGCTAGCAATAAGTTCTACATCTTTGGAAAAGTATTGATCATTTTAACCAATAACACAAGACAAAATCAAGGGAAAATACACACTGGGCCTGTCACTGAGTTTTTGACAAATTTTTGTTGAACAAAACCAAATATGGTCATTGAAAATGAAAAACTGCATTGGCCTTGAGTTGCTGCCATGTCTTTGGGTTAGGAGGATGATGGGCTCTGTGCTATTTCCTTGCCTCTACTGATTTTCCATCTTACCACAGAGACTAAAGCCATATAATCTGCCAGAATAGCTGCATCTGACTTCCTTGTCCATCCATGGGCTGTGATTTCCCTGTGATTTTGGTAAGAGTAACAGTTTACAATAAGCTGCCTGTTTCTGATGGGTAGCAGTTAGTCAAAATACTTCCCATCAAAGCACTCTGTGACCTTAATCAATTAAAATTTAATTGGTTTTCAGCATTTCTCAACAAGGATACCCCTGGAGGTAACAGGAGATATTTGGTAAGTGAAAATAACTCCTTCTTGGAATACAATTTCCTGGACATCTCTGGGTTTCATCTCCCATGAGTATTAAGCAACTCTCAATATGTTATAAATTGACATATGTAGATTAGAAATGATTCTAAAAAAGGTTAGCGATGCCTTGTTGGGGCTAGACTTAGAAAACTGAAGGTGCCATCTAGCATTATAATTCTATGATTCTGAATTAAGAACAAATAGGGAAATGAAAAGAAGAAGATACTGCTACATTTAACAACTGAATGAGTCTCTGGGGAGGAACCATCTACCTAAATAGTAACTGAGAAAGATGAGAAATTACAAAAGTGAAAATAAACTTGAGAGAAGATCAAATTAATCCCTTATTTAGGTTTATAATGGTGACAAAGATCTATACCTCTGTTCATCAGCCATACCTGTATCTGTAGATTGCCATTACAAAAACCAAAGGGACTAAAAGCATACATATTTTGTTTTTCTGAGTGTTCCCATGTCAAGAGGTCATTTTCTCTTTGGCTCAATGAGCAACATTTTATACAAAATTTAGGTAATAGTACACAGTTTTATGTGTATAGCAGTTTGTATGCATACCTGGAATTTTGAGGATAAACACAGTCCCACGTTCCAAGGGGCAGGAACCTGGAAGATAATTAGATCCAAAGTCTCAACAGCCCCATGTACTGCCACAACTTTACATGCGCCACAGAGCAAAGTCCTTAGGGCGCCATGAAGCTAGGGGCCAGCAGGGTCTAGACCAAGTCACTGGCTTACTCACCTGACAGTCACTGCAAAGCAGGGGGAAGCCTTTGAGGTTCTTCACTGACAAAATTTCAATTCAAAATGAAATACTTTCAAGAACTATTCATTTCTTTATAAGATACAGACAAATAAGCTCAAATTCAGATAGGTACTCTTAAGATAACTAGGTTTGATTATAAATAGGTTGTAGAAGTTTCAGGTAATTATATGAATGTTTTCCCCACTAATCTAATTTACAAATCTCTACAATTCATCATTTGTAGTATTTCTGCCTTTTGGCTAAAAATACAGAAACAATGATCAAATGATTAGAACTTCCTCACTTGAGTTCATGACAAGCAAGCAGTCCCAATGTCGTCAGGCAGCTACTCATATTTAACTATGCTGATTTTTCAAAAACATTTTTAACATACACTCAATCATGTGATGTGAAAATCTTTCTCCTCAAAATTTGGTAAGTTTTCACCTGAAAAATGTCAGCATTTTGAGAATTATGAATTTTCGAGCAAGGGTTTAGTGCAACTCAGCAGCAGCTCTCAGAGGCCACTCCTGTCTAGGCACAGCAGGTTGTGTTTATGTGAATGACTACTTAATTTGCATTCACAAGGGATTAATGTTTGTCTTGCTTTTGATATATATTATTTCAAACATCCTGAATTTTAGGGTTTAGGTTTACACATTAGTTTCTTGGCATGGCTCGCTTAATCTGAGCTTTTGAACTTCAGATGAACCCCAACTGAGGTTCTGAGCTTGCAATGAAATCGGAAACTAAGCAAGCTTCCCGTTTTTCACTTTAATTGTTGAAGTCTTCATAACTTCAGGGCATAGGAAGCATGTGCCTGGCATATTTTAGAAGTTAGTAATTTTTTAAAGGCAAGTTGGCTACGTGCACAGTAATGGACACTTTGGGCACAGTATTCTGCAGTTGCAAAACCAGAAATCCTAACATTTCTTTCTTGTGCCACTTCCCAGGCCTTAATTCTCCTTCTGCACTTTAGTCCTTAGTTTAGCAAGTTCCTCTTCTAAACTCTTAATATGTTCCTTCAACGTGGCCTTGTCTTGCTGGGCTTTCTGACTTGCTTGGCTTCGCGCTTCTTCAATCTTCCTTTCATACCACTTTTCCATCTGGGTAGAAACAGCCTCAAAAAAATACTGGGTAAGCTCCAGAGCTTGGGAGGTGTTTCGAGCGTGAGGGGCGGGCTGCTCACTGCCTGCTGCTGGTGGTGGCTGCCCACAGGTGGATGCCTGGTGCTGGCCTCGATGCCTTATTTGCCCACTTTTCCCAGACTTCTTGGTTTGGGTGCCTCTGTCGACACAGGGTCCAGCCTGCGGATCAAATCTGGCTGCCTCCTTAGAAGGCAGCAAGGCAGTCTGAACCTTGACATTCCTCAGTCGGGAGCCTGTACACTCCGAGGAAGATAGCTCCTGCTGGAGCCTGTGGGTCGCAGTGGAGCTGAGGGCCTTTTCCTTGGGCCTAACCACCTGAGGGGAACTGTCAGAAGCTGCTACAGGATCTGCAGTCACCACTGATTGATCCACACCTGGTTTCAAAAGGAAAGCAAAAGTCAGAGCAAATCCCACTCCCCTAGTCATGTGACCGTGTCGGCATTGAGAGTCCTGGGAATCCTGACTCAGCAGCATTTCCAGCTACCTCTGAGCACATGCAACTCTTCCCCACCCTTCCCTTCCACTTCTCTAGTATCTTGTTTTTCAGCCACACTGTTGGGATCTAAGCCAAAAAAGTTGTTGGGGGCCTCCCTGGTGGCACATGGGGTTAAGACGCAACCTATGAAGCTATCCGCAGCCTCTGCAGCACAAGTTCGATCCCCAGCCAGGGAGCAACCCACATGGCGCAGCAGACCTCTCCTGTCTCGTCTGCTGCTCCCCTCAGCAGTGTATTTCAGTCGATCCACCTGTTCTGTTCCCCACTTTGTCTCTGGTGAATCCTCTCACCAACCCCCCCCCCAACTCCTCTGGCCTGTACCCCAGTTCCTGTATGCATAAATAAATCTTTAAAGAAAATCCTCCTGAAAAAAAAGTTGTTGACCTTTCCTCTAACCTATCTTGACCTACCCCAGAAGGTTCTATGTACTATTTGCTGAGGATGACATGACTCACCATGTGTCTCAAGACAGAATTGGGTGTTAATGAGAATGAAAATCCCCATTCTCTGATTTCTGAGCCCCAGCGTAGCAGTTCTTGACTCAAGCTCCAATTAGGATAGGTGGTCCTATTTAGCAAATCCAGAGTCCCATAAAAAGTTCCATAACAAGTTCTGACATGAAAATATTGCCCAGGATTTTCCACAATGTTATGGGCACAAAGAAGAGAAAAAACACAGCTCCCTAAACGGCTTGTGACAACATATTATCCTCCATTGAGGCCCAATTACCAAGCTCTGTCTTCAAAATCATCAAGTGTAACAACTGTGGCTAATGCAAAGATACTTTACTCAAACTATGGCTCACCTAACACCCGGGGCAGCTTCACCCTATGAACTGCTGCTTAATGAGGTTTTACACAGTTGGCCAGAGGTACGAGGCTGATCAAAGAAGAGAGGAGAAAGCAGCACGGGCGCCGTGCGGAGACGACAGGCATCCGTTCTTCACTCCTCCACCCGGTCCTTGGGGTCAACTCTGCGTGACCAGCATACCGGAAGCACTGCTATCACCGGTCAACAATTCCTTTATTCCTTTATTTAAATATTTTTATACTTAAATAGGAGGGCTTTATTACTGTTTATTACTGTATAGGAAGTAAATCTACAGTAATCAGCAAAATATGGTCCTTGTCCCAACAGGCAAACACTCCACAACCCCATCCTCTGGACTGCCTTAGGATACAGGTGAGAATGAGATCCCGGGGACTCACTGAATCCTGGGGCACATTAGGGATGATTAGGCAGCCTCAAGGACAGTGCAGGGACTTCAGGAGAGTTAAGGAGGGCTCCAAAGATAAGGGCAACAAATTCCAAAGGGGAAGAATCAAACACCCCAGGACTTATGACATTAGGGACTTACTTTATGACCTTAGGGTCAACAAGACATTCCAAATAGAGGGCAATGAAGAAAGAAAGATAAGGGCTGGGACACAGAGACTTAGTTCTGGGCACAGAGACATTTAGGCGGTGAGTGAGACCACCGAGAACCCACCAGTCACAAAGAGACTGGTGGAGCTTTAGAATAATGAGGGAAAGAAGGTGTATGTTCCCTGAGACACTACTCCACTTGGGCTCCTTGCCCCTCCCTGGCCTGGTTTCATGGCCTGGGAGTCCCACTTTATTTCTGCTCTTTTTCTCCTCAATAAACTTTTTCTTTCTCTAGACAAACTTGCCTCTTCTCGCTTGCTTGCCTGAGCGTCTGCGAAGTCCCTGCTGCGGCTTCGTGAGACACCAGCCCGTGTGGTCTAGTGGCTGGGACTCAGCGCTGCCCCTGCAGCCTGGGATCCATCCCTGGCTGGGAGACTAGGCTTGAACACCTACAATTCCGGTATCATCACCACCTTTGGAATGCCTCTCTACACGAGTTACCTGTGGAGGACTCGCAAGTGGATGGTGTAGATTTAGCCCTAGAGGTTCTAGACTCTCCAGAAAGCTTCAGTTCCAGATTCTGAATCTTCAACAGGCACCAGGTCTTCAATTCATCTACCAAAGTCATCTAAAAAAAAAAACAAACAAAAAAAACCCCACAAGTTACTAGACAAATTAATCAGGTAAACGTCAAGCATGGTTTTTAAAACATCAAGAATGGACTTCCCAGCTATGATAGTTGAGGATATGGTCTTGACGAATCCACTTGTGGATTACCCATCCTCCCTCCTCCTCCACAGACTAGGATTCACCTAGCACCCAGGCCGAGAGCTATCCATACTCTTCATAAAGCAACTTATAGGCATTTTAAACTCACACAGAGCATCCCAAGTCTACCCAACCAACCATTTCTGGCTACTTAGGAGCATGAATTCTCTCTCACACACCCAATATTCACTTCATGTTTACTGTCCTGGGTAGACCATAAACTCCCTGGGGACAGGGAGTCTTGTTCAAAGACAGTAATGGCCCAGCATATCTACAACACAATGGATTCAGGGCAGAGATGACATCTTCTGCTGCATGTTCTATAAACTGATCTACCCATTCATTGCCAGTGTGTTCAAGAACAATAGGAACCAAACTAGAAGTTCTTTTTTTTTATAAAATGACATGCTATGTCATCCAAGTGCTTTCAGGGGACCTCAGTCTCTGGGTTTTCACTTAGAGGTCTGATCCTTAACTCAGAGGTGGTAAATCACAAGGATTAAGAGATTGTGGTTTTCACCTGTCGTTTGTCTCCCTGGTGCTTCTCTGTGTCTGCGTGCTGCTGCAGGCGGTTCAGGCACTCGGTCCTCTCTGCAGAGAGTCGCTCAACCATCAGCTTGTCCAGAACCCGCATCTAGGTGCAAAGACCAAGTGGCTGAGATGATCTAAGGATGGACCCTAATCTCTCAACTCCTGAGGCAGATTCGGGGGAACAAAGCAGGATCCAGAGAAGATCACAGCCAAATCTCAGCTCTCTTTCTGTTTGCATGGAACTATCAGAATTCCAGGGCATGTTTCTATGTAGGGTAATGTTTCTTTTTTTCATTTCACATATCCTAAGGAGTTTAAGAGATTATACATACACAACACACACACAACTTCAGCCAATGGAGATTTTTTTTTTTTAAGTTTTATTTATTTATATATAGAAGAACTGGGGTACAGGACAGAGATGTGGGAGGTGAGAGGATTCACCAGAGACAGAATGGGGAACAGACCAGGCAGACTGACTGACTGAAATACACTTCTGAGGGGAGCAGTGGGTGAATCAGGAGAGGTCTGCTGCACTATGTGGGTAGCTCCCTGGCCGGGGGATCCAACTTGCACCGCAGAGGCTGTGGACAGCTTCACAGTGCTGCGCTCAACCCCCTGAACCACCAGGGGGACCCCCAATGGAGATCTTGTAAGTAAAAAGAAAATGTGTGTGTGTGTGTGTGTGTGTGTGTATCTACCTATCTATCTATGTATTACCATTATTTCTAAGATTATAAAAAGGAAAAACTATTTCTAAAAGTATGGAGCTATTTCCTCATCTGTTAATTTTTGAATACCTTGAAAGCAGTTCAATACTCAGGGCTTTTATCTTAGGTCTCCTAATGAAACAAATCCTCTTGATGCTTCAATAAGGGTGCTCAAAGCCAGTCATGAAGAAGGGTGAAGGAGGAGTTCAAGTTAATGCTTCAGGGAACCAACAGCAGTCACCTGCAAATGACATGCCCTTGGTTTCCTCCCTTCAACTGGCATTTCCCTCAAGGCCCTAATGCCCATCAGTCTTAGAAAAGGTTGAGAAAATGGAACTGCTGTTAGTAGTATCCAGCCATGACAGGTCACTGGTAAGTTCCCCTCCTGTCAGATACACACGATGTTCTGCATTCAGATGCTCAAACTCTTTTTTTTCTAAAGCAGTATCATTTTTGAAGACATCGTGGGCACCTTATACTTTGTTTCTTCAGCCCTCATGTTGTTCTGTGAACAGCTCTCCTTCTGTTTTCTGGGATTGGCCTGCTTACCCAACTCCTCATTCTCTACACAGGCGACTATGCCAGGAGCAGTCATGTTTGTACATGTTTTTATCCTGGGATAAGGTTGATTGGTTCAGGTCTGAGCACCTGACTCATGCTGGGCCAAAGTCCTTTCCTTATAATTTGGAATTTGGATTACGAGTCTACATCTCAGTATGTCACCCTCCTTGAATCAAAGAGCGTTTCTTGAGACATCCCAGCGTACATCCGATACATTCTTTGCTGGGCGTAGGCTCTCGGAAGTGGATTTTTATTCACAAAACAGTCTCCTGGCTCTAAGGAATGATTTTTCAATGGACTTTCATAAAATGTAAATAGCGGAAAAAAACCTTAAAAATGTTCTACCTCCCCAATAAACAAGGAAATAAAAAGCAAACAATTAAGTATCTTTCAATTGGCAAAAACAAAGTGATAACAGTAAATAATGGCAAAGTTTTGAAGCCAGAACTTCAGGCACTTCTGATATATTAGATTGGTATAATCTTTCTATTTAGTAGTTTGCCAATTATTATGGAGTCTTAAATATTCTCAACTTTGATCAAATTATCTTAATTCTGAGCAAATAACCTGAGGACATTCAAAAGAATACATGTATTTGTCATGTCATTATTTATAGCTATAAGCAACTTTGAAGTCTGACAGAAACGGTTAAATTATGTTGTGTTAACATAAAGTCAAGGTCATGAGAAAATGCTCATGATAAAAAAAAGCATACAAAGCAGAAAGCGAAGTTAAACATATACCTCCATAGAAGGTATAATCTGTCATCGTTAAAAAGCATAATGTAGCTTGGCAGGTCTAAGACATGACAAAATGAAAATGCTGCAAAAAAAGCACAGCATAGCTGATAATTAAACAATGAAAGGTAGGGCTCTCTGGGGAGTTGTCACCAGGATACATACTTCTATAATGTGTTAAGTTTTTTTTTAAGATTTATTTATTTATGTACACAAGAACGGGAGTACAGGCTAGAGGTATGGAGGGGGTGAGAGGATTCACCAGAGACAGAGCAGGGAACAGAACAGGCAGACTGACGAAGTACACTGCTAAGGGGAGCAGCGGCGGCAGGAGAGGTCTGCGTGCCATGTGGGACCCTCGCCCGGCAGCCAGGGATCGAACTGGCGCTGCGGAGGCTGCGGGCAGCTTCGCAACCCAGTGCTCAACCGCCAGGCCACCAGGGAGGCCCTCACCTGGAAGTCTTGCTAAAAGCAAAGCATGCTAGATACCCCCAGCCCAGTTTTACTCACAAATTAAATTCGGTAGATCTGGAATGAGATCCAAGAATCTGCTTTTTCCACACAAGTGCCCAGATGCTGCTTAGGCTGCTGGCCCAGAGATGACACTCTGAGAACCACTGCTCTAGACCTAACTTTCAGTTTACAGAACTACGGGAACCACTAGAGAACAAGTTAAACTACCAGGCAAATCCAGAGTATAAAGCATGCTTTATAACAACTGGCCTGGACTCTTTAAAAAGTTAATACCACGAAAGAAAAAAATAGCTAGACGAATCAGGAACTATTCTAGATTAAAAGAGACCACAGAGTCAAAACACAAAACACAATACAAATGCACAAAAGATTTGCTGGATCCTGGGCTGGAATTTAAAACCAAAATCAGCAATTAAAACATGTGGGCAGTGAAATCAGCACAATGGCAGCATAAAGCATTTACCTTATGTTTCCCTTTTAAAATCCAACTACTTAATCAACTATAGAGCAGCAGGGGTTTGGCTGAGCAACACTCTAGGATATCAGCGATCCACACAACTATGCACCTGAAGGCGGGTAAATCCACGCTCAAGGACATGATAGACCCGGGGGAGAGTACTGAGCAGCCAGACTGCCCCAAGCCTCTAGGGAAAGGAGACAGCGTAGAGGCCCATGATCTTTGCCCAAGGGAACTCCAGAGCAGCAGATCAGCACCTGGGCCATGAGCTCAGGAAGGAGGGCAACACGAAGTGCTAGGAACTTCAGCATTCCCTTGCTCCCTCCTGTTGAGCTGCCCTGAAGTCTAAGTCCCAGGAAGTTCTCACAACTGAATTGTGGGCCAGGAACCAGGGAGGAGGAAAAGCAGTGAGGTGGCCCAGGCAAGTGAAGCCCTGCTCTCCCCCATTGCAGCAACTAGATTTCTCCACAGCCACACCCCCTCCATACCACCAACACAGTGACAGTGTCAGAGTGCTGTTACGCCTGCTCCCCCAGCCTGCAACTGGTGATACTACGCACACAGGTAACCACAGACTATAGCCATAAGCAGAGCCACAACTAGAGCCACAGCACCACCTACTGGGGAAAAAGGCACCTTTTCCAAAGATGCTGAATCAGAATTCAGAGAGGTGAGCCTGACAAAAACAGACATGGTCGTATAAACAGCAAATACGCAGACAGGAATATATATTGTCAACCAACACAAAACTTCTAGATATCACATGAAAAAGAGAATCATAATTCTTCCAGAAACCAAACTTAAAGGCATGTAAGATTAGCAAATTTGAAATAGCTGTCATGGAGAAACTCAAAAGAAAACTCAGAAAAGCAATTCAATGAACTCAGGAAGGAAATTAAAAGAGCAGAAGGAGTACTTGACAAAAGAGATTGAGTTATGGATAATAAACAGACTCAGGATGTGAAGAACACAAGAAATAAGATCAGGATTGCTATAGAAAACTTTAGAAATGGAATAGAAAAATAGAACAAGACAATGAACTTGAAGAATGATTCAGGTAGAAGGAGAGAAAGAAAATGAAGAAATGCCACATGAGTGATTTGATTCCAACACAAAAGGCAACAGAGATTCATGGGTATCCCTGAAGGTAAAGAGGGAGAAGCAAACAGGAAGGGTAAAGTATTTAAAGGGAAGTTTCAGGACAGTCTGTGATTTCAATAATTCAAATCTTCAATAATTCAGCAGAAGAAAAATAATGTGAAAATCACACAAAGCAAATGTGGCAACATATTAACAACTGGTTGAATCTAAATGAAGAGTATATAAGCATTCCATAGACTATTATTTCAGCTTTTCTGTATGACTGACAACTTTCAAAATAAAAAGTTCAGAGAAGAAAAAAGCCAGACATGCTTAATTTTGTATGTAATAGAAAAGGGGTATAGAGCATATAGACTAAAGACAAATTTTAATAGTTCCTTATAATCTTTGTGGGAGGGCCTAACTGATAATTTATTCTAATTTTCATATTTAGAAGATTCCCTTTAGTAGGTATATTATTTTTATAGTCAAAAGCAGTTTAAACATGTTCTTTAAAAAATTTAAATAAATGAGCCTGTCGTATTACATAAGCAGGTCTCTTCCCTGACAGTCCACCCAATAAACTCAGGGCAGAGTGTGCAGATCAGAAGGATGTGCTGGCATCTCTGATTTCATTTTCTTCCCAGAACACCTTACAATGAAGATGCAAGGACACTTACTTGGTGCTGGTTCTTATTCTCCATGTGCCCCAGCTTTGTATTCATTTTATCCTGAACTGACCCCAGTTCTGCTTTGATCTCCTCCACAGTTGCCTCCAACTGATTCTCCAGCTTGTTGATTAGAGGTTCACATCGACAGCCATTTATTGGTGCCTAAGAGGAAAACCAAGGAGCCAGTCCAATGGAATTGTTCCTTCAATGAATTTGAGTTCCCACCTCATGCCAGTCAGAATGTCAAGAGGATGCAGATGATGGAGGAGGCAGATTCACCCCGGTGGTGACTTAGATGTCTGACAGGCCAAGCTTTGGGTCTAGTAGGCACTAGCAAGATTCAGAGAGGGTCCCAATATCCTCAAGGCTGCCTGGCCACCACCACCGCCCTCAGGGAAATCTGGGCCCTAGTGACAGCAGCAGAGCTGCCCCATCTAGGTGGGGAGGGCCATCTGGCTTATCTCCAAAGCTCACATCTTCTTAAGTCAATGCCTAAAATGGGTATCAGCCCCAAGGACAATTTCCCTTAAGGTGCACGATCCTCTGTCCTGAAAGGCTCAGCAGTACCTGCATGACTTTCCCGTCCTTGCCCCTGTACAGTGTGTAGAGCTGGTAGGCTCTGAACTCATGGGGAGGGGGTGGTGGCGAACATCGATGCCTGGGTCTCTTTTTAGGGTGATTATGAGCATGTGAGTTCTTTTCGCATCCAGGCTGGTCTGCTGGTGGGGTGGGGTCAGAAAATGCTGATACCTGTGGGAGAGGAAAAAATAATGTACTCAGGTACACCCCTGAGTACCATGAAATCTGCAAAACTGACACCCAGCCTGTGGCTCCCATCTCATCTCCCACTTTTGGCCAAAGAACCCTACTTTCTTTGTCCATGGCATTCTCCTCCAAGCACCACATGTCAAGAAGTATATATCTATGTAATCAATGTGCTAACCCTGGTGGAAGCTAGCCAGGTTTAATTTCTGTACTCTGGCTTCAAATCAGCAAGCCACGTGAAGTGGCTTTTTAGCTGTTGGCCAGGACTCAGTCACAGGGCCCGCCGCCAACCTGCCTCCCAGTCCTGTCTCGGCTGCTTTCATGTGCCTGACCTTGGGCCTTGACTTTCTCCGCCTATTGTCCTTGGCTCTGGGCTCTGGGGAAGCTGACAGGATATCTTCTCTGGCGTCTTCTTTTCTGGGTGCAGCCTGTTCACTGCTAGGGGTGTCTCCTGCTGAGACACTTCCCTACAGAGGGAAAAAAAAAAGCCCCAAATCCTGTTCACTTTTTCAATATCAGCATAAAATTTTGTTTGCAAGACTCCATTCACAAGGGCCCATGAAAATCTTTGCCAGTGTGACACATAGGGAGCACACCTTAACATGTATGCCTTTCCTGGCTGAATATTTGGCTATTATTTTCATTATTAGGTGCCAGACTAAAAATAGTCTTGTTCTAGACCTTCAAGAACCTACCACCGATAAAACATCTTATCATTAGACATTGTTTGTCTTATTCAACAAAAAGTAACCCCACTCATTCTTTGACCTTGGAAGTTCAAAATTCATAGCTGAGAGTGAGAATCGTCTGAGATGAAAAAAATCTCAACATTTCTGGTCCTTGTGAGAACTTTAACAAATTAATATGTACAATTCACACACAGGAGCTTAAGCAGTTCTAATACCTTACCCCTGGAAATTGATAAGACGATTCCAAGATATGGACAGAAGAGTAAGTACTCAGTGATACAAGTTTATGTGCCAAAGTTGTGCCAATATCCTATTTTCTCCCTCCAGGAGTGTCGGAAGCAGAGTTCATTCTAGGGCTGCCGTGTACAGCTGTGCAAACTGCTGACTACACCAGGGCACCTGGCATCAGGACGAGTGATGCAGGGAGAGCTGAATTCAACCCGGGCTTTATTCACCACGTGTGCCCTCTGTGGGGCAGGTCTACCCAGCAGGCATGCTTTGCTGATTTGTACAAAGGAGTCATGCGGGCCAGCACATTTCTTAAGTGGAAAGAAAAGCAGCAACATAGGCCAGTGGTTGTCAAACTTGAGTCCACATCAGATTTACCTGCAGGGGCTATCAAAGACAGATCACTGGGCCCCACCCAGGGTTTCTGTTCCAGTGGGTCTGAGGTGAGGTCCCAGATAACACCATGGACACACTTGAGAACCACTAATCTACAAAATTAAGGTCATGGAACCAGAGAGGTTGGCTATCCAAGTGGGAAGGACAAGACCAAAGATAACATGGGGCTAGTAAAGATACCCACACAGGGTGCCAGAAAAGATGGGAAAGGCACACAATCTGAACTTGTGGAGGAACACAGGACCCAAAGCCAAAGGGAAAGAGACTGACAAGTGTCTGAAGAACTCAGCGGGGAGGAGAGGCGGAGAAGGGCATGGCAGCTTCCATGTGAACCCAGAGGAAGCAGGGAGACAGTTTCCCACCCTAAGTAGATGGGGTTGGGGAGGGGCAGGAGGACTACCTCCCACCTTGCTTTGTGCCACCTCATCTCTTGGCACAGACTGAGCTCTCCTTTCTTCCTTGAGTTTCTCTCTCTTTTTCCTCAGGCTTCGCCCACGACTGAAGCGCAAGACCTGAAGGAGGCAAGAGGCATTGTTACAAACCACGGGTGTGCGTAGCATCAACGTGAGGGAATTCTCCTTGGACCTGGCGCTCTCACTTAAGGAGACTGGAAACTTCCTGCCTAGTGGGAAGTCTAATCATTCACAGCAGACAAGCACCTGCTATGCCTCCCAGGTCTCGTGTAGGCATCGCCGGGACCCAGCGATGGTAGACCAGCTCAAGATGCTTAGAATGGCAAGAGTAATAGGCACAGGCCTCCCTGGTGGCACAAGGGGTTAAGCACAGCACAATGAAGCTACCCACAGCCTCTGCAGCACAAGTTCGAGCCCTGGCTGGCTAGGGGGCTACACACATGGCATAGCAGACCTCTCCTGTCTCGCCCACTGCTCTCCTCAGCAGTGTATTTCAGTCAATCTGCCTGTTCTGTTCCTCACTCTGTCTCTGGTAAATCCTCTCACCCCCAGCAACTCTGGCCTGACCCCTGTTCTTGTATGCATAAATAAAGCTTTTTAAAAAAAATACCAGGCACTTACATGCTGGCCCAGGGCCACCAAGTGGGTGTGCACAAGCTAAGCACTGCTTAACCTCAGGGAGCACCATTCACACAGACTGGCACCCCCTGGAGCTGTGTGGTGTGACAGCCCTGTGCCAGGCACAGTCTCTTTATCTTGGTACACTGGACCCAAACTAAACCATCAGATTTTTCTCCTGGCTAACCAATATCCAACTCATTCAATTTGATTCAAATATGACTGAGGTATATCTGTAAGCCACAGTACCATGGGGCAAGAACATTTTCCCCAAAAGGAGGCCTTTGGTCTGCCCCTTAGAGTGCAGAGGGGTGGAATGGACACAGGTAAGTACACATGAAATCTGAAATACCCAGGATGGAAGCCAGCAGCAAGCTGCAGGAGTTTGGGGCAAGTCATTGGATCCCTGTGCTCTGTCTTCTCAAATGTAAAAATGGGGAGTTGCTGGGATTAACCAAGACAAAGTAGGTGGCTGGCACACCTTGGATCCTCAGTCACTGTCAGGTGCCTCCCACCTGCCATGGTGCCTTCGGGTTGCTGTTGACAAAGGATGTTTAACCTGAGAGTACATATCTTTGAGCTGGTGGAAACCTTCCCTCTGGCTCAGCGCCATACCCTCCTCCCAGTCCTTCTACTCTCAGCTCTAGGGTTTATTCTCGTTAACCAAGGGGGTCCAGACGGTGAAGGTACTTTTCCAAGGTCATACAAAAACATGTTCTGGCCTTCTTATATAAATATGTAAGGGCTCTGTGAAGTTTGACATGTCCCCTCAATATCACACTTTTTTCTTCTTGGGTCATTATGTTCAAGTGCTATCAGTGGATGACAAAAACAACCTCTATGGGGAATGGGTACCACCTAAATGGAAAATTCCTGACAGTATCTTCCTGAACTCACAGAATGTGGCTGGACTGGATTTTATTTTTATTTATTTTTAAAGATTTATTTATTTTTATTTATTTATTTATACAAGCACTGGGTACAGTCAGAAGCGCGGGAGGGTGAGAGAATTCACCAGAGTCAGAGCGGGGAGCAGAGCAGGCAGAAGGGCTGAAGTACACTGCTGAGGGGAGCAGCGGGCGGCAGGAGAGGTCTGCGCGCCATGCGGGACCCTCCTCTGGTGGCCGGGGAGCAGCTGGGAATCGAACTGGCACTGCAGAGGCTGCGGGCAGCTTCGCAACCCAGCACTCAACCACTGCGCCACCGGGGAGGCCCTTTTTTTTAAAATTTTATTTATACAAGAACCAGGGTACAGGCCAGATGTGCGGGAGGGTGAGAGGATTCACCAGAGACAGAGCGGGGAACAGAACAGGCAGACTGATGAAATACACTGCTGAGGGGAGCAGTGGGCAAGGCAGGAGAGGTCTGCTGTGCCATGTGGGTTTCTCCCCAGCCAGCCGGGATTGAACCCACGCTGCAGAGGCTGCGGACAGCTTCACAGTGCGGCGCTCAACCACCTGCGCCATCAGGGAGGCCCTGGACTGGATTTTAAAAAACATATTCTTACTCCATAAGTCAGCAGTTCTGAAAGGGTCCAGGGTCTTCTGAACCCACAAGGCTAAAGTGATTTTCATCATCTCAACAATGTTGGCCTTTTTCACTCTCTCACTCTTTCATGATCATACAGTGTCATTTAGCAGAGGCTGTGCCTGGAGTATTGCAATAGATTGCATGGAGAAATACTGATATTCGTTCTTTATTTTTAAATAAGACAGTAAGGAGACTTGCAAAAATGTAAAACAATGCTTTCTCAATTTTTAAAACTAATTCACAAAGTTTATGTTAATATAAAGTGGTCTTATTTTTATGAGTAAATATCCTTCATATTTTTTGACTCTAATTTCCAATATGGTAGCTATTGATACCACTCACATGTAAAAGTATCCTTAAGGCAGTCAGTTGTAAGCTATTTCTAAAGTTAAATTCAGCCTCACTAGAATTTGAGCCTGACAAAAGGGAAGTGACTAGTGTCTGTCTCTCCTCCGGTTTATGGTCTCTTAGGACAGGACACAGAGCCAGACCCAGTCTGAAATTCACTTTCAGTAGCATTTGTGAATCGTGTGAATCAAAAATGATATGCAGAGGTTATCAATGCCCAAAACCATTATCAAAAAAGCTCCTTCCATACCCCAAGTTACTAGCCAGGGAAAATCACTTTGCATGACTTACAGCCTTTTGCAGTTACCATTTCATCTACCAGATAGAAATCATTGATCTTCTCCAGTTCACAGAAAGCAGGCTATTTCTGTAGCTACAGATGAATAGAACAGCATGCATACAAGTTTATGCACATTCCAACGTCCCTTCTTTGAGAATAGGGCTTAACATGGACAACCTGTAAAATAAACTTTTGTAAACGGTGAGCCCATTTAATTGCTATTCAATATATGGGCATGGAAGAACTTGCTTAAGTCATTTTTAAATGGAAACAAAAAGGAAAACTGCATAGAAAGTGGTCCGTGGAAAAGCTTTCTTCACTATGAATTAAGGACGTTGGGATCTGGAAATCAGGTGGGAAAAGGCACGTCCATCTTTGTGTGTCTAGAGGAGGTTCCATCCCATAAGACTTGAGGATGTTCATATACCTGAGCAAGGGGCTAGCTGTCCAGTAAACTATCAGACACTAAAATACCTGATATTTTGATAACCATGGATTCTGAACTTAAATAGCACCCCATACTTTTTGATCCATGAGAGACTAACATTTTTATCAGGTTTATGGATGTAAATTTGCTGAGGATTTTGTTACAAATAGATGAAGGGAGGTGAACTTTTTTCTAAAGGAGCACCTAACTCACTCCTGGACTTCCTGGCACAAGAGGTGGTCAGTTTTGTAAAAGAATTTTTTTTTAACTTCCAGAAACCACTAGTTATATCAGACACGTTACTTTTCTATTTTTTTTTTTAAGATTTATCTATATTTATACAAGAATTGGGGTACAGGCAAGCCAGAGATGCACGGGAGGGTGAGAGAATTCCCCAGAGACAGAGTGGGGAACAGAACAGGCAGACGGACCAAAGAACACTGCTGAGGGGAGCAGCGGGCGAGACAGGAGAGGTCTGTCCGGCCATGTGGGTTTCTCCCTGGCTGGCCGGGAATCGAACTCATGCTGCAGTGGCTGTGGATTGTGTCATAGGTTGTGTCTTAAGCCCTGCGCCACCAGGGAGGCCCCAGGCACGTTTTTAAAACTTAGATGAAAAAAAGGCCATGCACAATACTGGCTGGGGTGGGACTATGATGCACCAGGCTATTTCCAGAATCTTCCTCTGGCTCCCTAGACATTGTCATCCCGAAAGAGTAACCCAGAGTAACGTGAGAAAACAATCAGTGTTCACTGTAATGCAATACAGAATTACCCCAATCTGGAAATAATCTAAATGCCTAACATTAAGGAAGTGGCTTAACAAAATGACAGCAACAAAAAAGAATACAATGCTTCCAGAACACAGAGGAATAATTGTGAAGGTTGCAGATCATTTCCCTGTGATAGGATAAAGGGAAGACTAGAAAAGGGTATGACTGCATTGTAGAGTAGATGCAATCCTAAAAATCGTCTCTGTGGAAGGTAATATGAAAAAGCAAACACAGTTATTTCAAGGTGCTGAATGATAAATAGCTTACAAATCATCATTATTAATTGTTATTTAGATAATTTAACCTCAATTCAAGTGATGACAGTCATTTTTAAAAGCTGAATGATGACCAAAGTACCATTATTCAGTAAAAAAGTAAAGAAAGCTGTTCAGGTTTTCCCTACTATTTCAAAGTAAAGTGTTCCCATTTGGTTCTGATTTAGTAAGTTATTTTTGGTTTCCAGACAAATGAATGGTGATAGCATTGTCAGACCTTCAAAATAACCAAATAGGAAAGCTACTTTCCGGTGTCAGAGACAACCCGAACTGTACTTAACTGCCTCAGGTGGACATTTACAGCTTTGTCCAGAGTGGACACAGGAAATACCTCTAGGAAATACCTCTTTTAATCATTTGGTCAAGTGGATGCTCCCCTCTTCTTAAAGTCCATCTATTTGTTCAGGGCTTTTGCTCCAAACTCCTAAGTCATGATCTCCTTGTGTGATGTTTTAAACTAAAGTGCCTTCCCTGGCTGAGCGCCCGGGACATTAGATTAGGAAGCTGGCAGCACCAACCATCCAGCTACTGGGAGGGTGTGATGCCCACATGCGAAAAGCGGTCTGCTGAGCCTGCTGCAGTCTCGGGTTCAGCAACCCCGGAGGCCCACATGGATTTCTACATTTTCTGCTGGCGGATTAATGAGCCCATCAGTTCCCTATTTAAGTTAGCTTGAATTGGCTTCAGTAGGTGGACACTGCAGCCCCGTGTAATATGATGGAAAATGCAATAAATCCTACCTGGGGAGCTTTGGTGAGAAGAAGAGCAACTTCTGGATTATTGTGGTAGCGGGCAGTCTCCAGCGGAGTCTGGCCTGCCTAAGGAAGGACAGGGAGGACAAGTCAGTAAAGAGCACCACTCTGCACACTCACACACGCACATGGCCCCGCGGGGACAGCAATCTGCACACAGTCATGCCCAACAAATACTGCCACACATACAGGTGAGTCTCGCTAATTCCATCCAACGAGGGAGCAAAGTCACCTTGAGGTCAGGGTGGGAAACAACACACAGCAACAGGGGGCGAGCTTTAGGTACATGAGCAGTGTGCTGTAGGAGGCAAAGGTGTGGGCAGTGCACACCAAGGAATGCTTCCTGGGGACACAGGGAAAGTGGAAATCACATAGGGTCAAGGTGAAGAGTTCAGTTGCGGAAACAACAGAAAGGATCATAAAATCAGCCAACCGAAGAATTTCCCCTGGAGAACAATGAGCAGGACACCAGGAAGGCTCAATCCGGGCCCAGCCTCTGAGTCTCAGAAACTGGATTGTGAAAAACAATTAGGAAGCTATGGCCATAATGCAGACTCTAGGGAGAGAGAAGTAAAAAACCAGGAGCTAGCAACAGTGGGATTCAGCAGCCAGGAAAGGTATCTGAGGTAGCCTCAATGGCACCATGATGGCACTGGAGCTGTGAGGAGGGAGGGGAGCCCGATTTGGGAGCCTTCGCCAGTCTCAACACACCCCGATTCTCCAGTCATGCCACACAACCCTTCTGCCCCTGTCCTCTGAGCCAGTCCTAGCCCAGGAGGGCAGCAACCACTAGTGAGCTTCGAGAAGAAAGGCGCCTTCAGCTGGTGCCTGCTGCGGGATCTGGGGGTGTAAGGGGCAGAAGGATGCGGAGCAGGATCTCTATGATTCTAGCAGATGAGTGGAGGAGTCCTGGAGACCTCAGTGGCTTTCCAGGCTTTATTTGGGATTTACCAGGTACATGGCAGGCAGGGGTGCCGGGAGGCTGGCAGGCCTCCCAGCCCCCAGCAAGTCTTTACTCTTTCTGGGCTCTCCGGTGTTCTCTCATGGCCATTTCTTCTCTGCTCCTTTCACTCTCGTTCTCTATGCTTCTCTGGCGTCCCCGTGACGCCGCCCTTATAGGCCCAGCCTTAGCCCAGGTGTACCCACTTATGCATGCCCACATCCCACTCCAGGTGCCCGCCATCAGGCATGCATTCAGGACCGCAAGGATCCATCACTAATCCTAATGGTGGGAGGGCAGAAAAGCCTGATACTTTTTCACTTACCCTACAATCCACCCCCTCAGGGTTTTCTGCCATACAGTGTATACAAGTTATACACACATTTCTCTTGGCAATATGAACACTGCAGCCATGGCCCACAAATGCAAATGAAATACATCACAATATAACAAATACAACAGAACACAAATAAGTCCAGGTAGGGCACCAACCTAGTGGCAAAAGACAAGATTACTGGCACCAGCAGATGATCCATCACTTCTGCTGCCAAAGGCACTGCTCATACGAGGGAGGAGGACCCCTCAGGCATCTGCTGTCACACACCAGGAGCCGTCAGGCTTCCTGGCCTTCTCCGGCTGTGGTCTCAGCCACAAGCCACACACCGCATCCACCCCCAGGATGCACTCACTCTGGGATTGGCGATTCTATATTGTTGGGGGTACTCACCCAACCCTCAGGATTTCTGTCTGCATTCACTCCAACACTCGGCTTTCATAGCCACCAATGCGACACGCAGACCCCTGCACTCAGGCCAACCCACTGCACAAGCACATGGGTCGGGGATCCATGGATACAAGCTCCACATGCAGCCTCTTTGGCTTGGGCTTCACAAGCCACGTTCCCCACCCGCCCCCCAAGGACAGACTCCTCAGATCCTCACCCTTACTCGACAATGAATGGGGCATCACCCACAGGTGATTTTAAGAGACTCACTGGCCTTCACATATTTAAGCTTCTTAACAGCCAGCCGCTCAGGGCTTCCCAATCTCAGCACCAGCTTTTTGCCTTTCTAAGCTGGCTTTTTTCTCTGCTTGCTGCAGAGAAATTGGCGAGGGCTTCCTCCCTCAGCCAGCTGTGGGCTCTTATACTAAGGCCCACCAGCCACACCTTGATTTTTATCTCCTGGGGTTTACAAACGATACCATCCACCACCAGGGTCCCCAACATGTTAACAACCTGCCAAGATTCCTCTGCCTTCTGGTGGGATTGTCAGTCCAAGTGCATTAGTCCCAAGTCCATGGGCTTCTTCCTTGTGTCAGCACTGGCGAGCTCTGAATCATGGTCCTCTTTCTTTCCCCAACATTTCTGCTGTCTCAGGAGTCTTAGGCAGGTCCTCTCAGGTGTCTCCTCCTCCAAGAGAGGTCTTGTCTATCTCCTATGTTGCCATGACGCCTCCAGCGTTTTCACAGGCTGTCTGCTACTCCTCAGTCCCTCCAGAAGTCTTCAGATGGCTCCACACCCGTCTGCTTCAGATTATCTTGTCGTCTTACGCCAAATGTAAGGGGCAGGAGGATGCGGAGCAGGATCTCTATGATTCTAGCAGATGGGTGAAGGAGATGTCCTGTAGCCCTCAGTGGCTTTTCAGGCTTTATTTGGGATTTACCAGGTACAAGGCAGGCAGGGGTGCTGGGGGGCCGGGAGGCTGGCAGGCCTCCCAGCCCCCACTGTCTTCACTGTTTCTGGGCTCTCCGGTGTTCTCTCGTGGCCATCTTCTCTGCTCCTTTCGCTCTTGTTCTCTACGCTTCTCTGCTCTACTGGAGTCCTCGTGACGCCGCCCTTATAAGCCCAGCCATAGCCCATGTGTACCCACTTACACATGCCCACACCCTACTCCAAGTGCCTGTCATTAGGCATGCATTCAGGACCGCAGAGATCCATCATCAATCCTAATGGCAGAAGGGCAGAAAAGCCTGATACTTTTTCACTTCCCCTACAGGGGGAAATGGTGGAGGGAAGGAATACTGAAAGAGAGGCATGAGATACAGTGGTGTGGGGGAGAAAGGAGTCAGAGTTTTGAGGAAGCTTTATCTGATACGGCCATTTGTTCTGAGGATCACACCATTTACAGACCCAGAAGTCACTTTTATTTTTTTAAGATTTATTTGTTTATGCATACAAGAACTGGGGTACAGGCCAGAGGTGTGGATGATGAGAGGATTCACCAGAGACAGAGTGGGGAACAGAACAGGCAGACTGACAAAAATACTCTGCTGAGGGGAGCAGTGGGCGAGATAGGAGAGGTCTGCTGCACCATGTGGGTAGCTCCTTGGCTGGCCAGGGATCGAACTTGTGCTGCAGTGGCTGCGGATAGCTTCACAGTGCTGTGCTTAACCCATTGCGCCACCAGGGAGGCCTCCAGAAGTCACTTTCAGTAACAACCACTTAGCCACTCCTGACTTTCTTTTCCATTCTAGGAAGTGCTCATTAAAGCTGTGCCCTCAGCATTGTGGCTTCAGGAGGCTCTACCTTCTTCCAGAGTGAAGATGTGTGCTCCCCAATATGTAGGCGTTGAGGCAGTAACAATACATTATGAAAAGAAGTGGAAACGGACATTGTTGTAACTCACGTTATTAACAATGGTCCCATCTGCTCCAGCTTCCAGTAAGATTTTAACCACCTTCTTGTGATTTAGGGCAGCAGCAACATGAAGAGCTGTGTCTCCAGCCTGAAATTAATCAGAAGAAAGTCTGCTAAACTGCATCTGATCATGGCCCACGGTCCTCTGGCTTTTCATGCCATGGCCTGGTGGTGAATTTCCAAAGTTGGATTAAAATTTGCCTGTGACTGACAGGGTGCCCTTTGCCCAAGTGTTATGTGGGTCTTTTTAAAGAGATCTTGGAACTAAGTGACCTATGCATAAATATTTTTTTCTGACTGGGGATACCAGAAATCACAAGATTTAATACAAGGGGCAAAAGTAACACTGGGTTGGGGTTGTTGAGCCCTTCTTCCATCAGGGCAGAGGGAGGAGCAAGCAGCCAGGGACTGGCAGGCTAGCCACTCTGGACCACGTCCACTGGCCAAGCAGACGAGAGGCGGTTTCTCTGTTAACCTCTAGGCTAGGCTGAGCGAAAGTTGTGAAGGTGGCTACTTCTCACACCAGAGGAGAAACAGCTGAGCCCTGCTCTGCCTGCGGGGATGTGAAGAGGCCGATGAATCATTCAGTGGCTCTTTGTTTGGGAGGGTCACTGAGAATTAGCACTCACTTAAGACCAGCTGCTTTAAACCTCTTACCTGATACCCTATATGTTCACGTTTTCTTTATAAAGGGACTATGTTCAGATCAACTATGAAAGGGGAATACAGACAAATGCAGGTTGGTGGGCCAATTCCAAATCCTGCTGCTCCCCCAAACCCCAACCAAAATAACTGAGAAATATAAGGGAAGTGAAACACTCCTTTCTGCTGTCAGGTGATCAGGTAAAATTTTTTTTTTTCTGGGGCAGCATAAAAATCCAAGCATCCTCCCCCAGTGAGTAGCTGGGCCAGTGTTTATTTCATTGTGAGTCACCTAGTGGTTTGTGTTGGAGAAATCTGTAGCAGTGATTTCCAGTCTTGGTTGCACATTAGAATCAGCTGGAGAGCTATAAAAACCCTTGACCAGGGTCCCACCCCCAGATGTTCTGATTTAGTCCATCTGGAGTATGGATTGTGTTGTAACATGCCTCGAAGGTGAGAAGCACTGGCTAGTGGGGGCTGAATGGGGGTAATCTGATGAAGTAGAATCTACCGGGAGGTTACAGAATGACAGAATTTAGCTATTTTTATTAGGTCTTGGTTCTTAATACTGTCTTTATATTCAGACTGGGAATTTTTTAAAAATACCATTGCCTGGGTAATCTGGCCATTTAAACTGGGGTGGAATTCAGGAATGCCATTTTCAATTCCCTTGTAGATTTTTATATGCAGTCAGAATCAAAAACTATTATTTTAGGGTATATTTAACCTTAATCACAATCTAATTTTAAGTTTCAGATATATGCACCCAAACTTCAGAAAAAAACAATAAATAGATCAACTAGGTATCAGTAAATACAGACATTTTATTTTTTACCCAAATGACTACCGAAAATCATAGACATTTTCATGGAACACTAATAATCACAGTTCTATTTCAAAATCCCAGCCTCTGTAGCAGATACAGATCATGCACCCAATTTTACAGAAACCAGACTCCATCAGTTCAATACAGGGACAACTCAAGGAACAGGACTCGGAGTCATGAGACACCTAATTTCCTCGCTTATTTACTAAGCCACATTCTTTTTTGTGGATTTCCTTTTTAAAATCATATTAAAAACAAAACCTGCCCCCAAATCTAGAAAATGTTCAATATGCAAAAGTGGTGGTAAGCACGAGAAATGTAACAGCAGGCTTTCTCTAGGAGGGCAGATAAACCACAGAACTCAGTGAAATGCCCGTGCAAAACCAGCACTGGCTGAGTCCCAACCCGGGAGAGGGCACCGCCTCCCAGCTGCCTCTGCTCCACTTTGCACCCACACACCTGTAAGTTAGCCCTGTGGGGAGGACTCATGCACTGACCTGGTTCTTTTCATGGACAGAACAGAAAGCACTGAGGAGGAGCTTAATGATGGACAAATGATTATAGCGTGCGGCAACGTGCAAACAGGTGTCGCCTGCCTGCGGACAGAAATCAAACTCTAAGCACAGTCTGAGTGGTTACAAAACAGAAAGTAAAAAATATTAAAAGTAAAAATATTTAAAAGCACATATTTTTTAAAGGATGTCAGTCTAAATTACAGGTGTCTCCTCCAGCACAGATGACCTACACCAAGCCTCACAGCTTTTGCTATTGTGCAGAGTCCTGCTTCTCCCACCATGCACTCTGCCTTCGGGTTTGACATACTGTCTGCTCCCTAGAACGAGACCTCCACAAGAGCAGGGTCTTGTGGGCAGCCTCTGCTTTATCCAGTACTTGACTGGAGCCCACCGATACCAGCATCTCCTACAACTCAAAGACTGGAAATGAGCTGTTCCCCTCACAGATCCGTCACAGTGGAAAGGATGGGGCAACAGGGTGAACTCTCCGACTGTAAGATCCTACGTGTTCTAAAAAATTCAAGGAGCATCTTATTTTAGTAGGAACACAATAGCCTATCTGGAGCCATAGAGTCTGGGGACCTGATAAGGGTCGATCACTGGGAGTGAAAAAAGGGCAGAAAAAAATCCGGATCAAGAGCTTCCTTACTGGTCACAGGCAGACAACAAAACTGGAGCCAGAAAATAGTTACTGTCATCAGCATTCTTTTGATGTTTCCCTCCTAGCTCTGTCTAGAGATGGGCCACTCAGCCCTTCGCCCTTACATTGAGGAGCCAAGATCAAAGCTGAGTTTAAAGCATTCTGAGAAGCACCGTAGAAGAGCCTGCCCCCTACAGGGAGGCCCCAGCTCAGGCCAATTTCGAAAGAAGCCTCAATCAGTTTCAATAGTCAGGTGGCTGAGGCAGGAGGTTAACAAAGGGATCGCAGGTTGTGGAGGGAGGGGGGACACCCACGTGACCTCCCTGGTCAGGCACCCTCTAACAACCACTGACCTGTTGGGACACTGACCTGTTGTCCAAGGACAACTCAATTTGCAGATGCCGGGCATGGAGCACCAGACGACCTTCCTTACACACACCGTTCATAATTGCTAAAAATACACCTTGTGGGAGGAGACTTTAAAACATTTAGTGGTTTCTTAAACTCATTTACCAGACACAGGCTTAAGAAGAGAGATTCAGGAGCAAGGGGAAAAGGAGGAGGAAAGAATCTCGATTCTTGTTTTAGGAAGTTAGTGAAGAATGAATACTTTTTAAAGTGGCCCCAAACAAATTTTACATTTTTATTTTCTAGATGTTAAGGCTCAAGTATGCTTTCAGGATGAGTTTCTGAGGAGGCGAGAGCAAGCGCGAGAAGCCGGTTTGTTCACCCACATTATTTTTGAGGTCTGCGCGGGACCCGCCCAGCAGGAGGACGCGGGTGCTCTGGGAGTGACTGTTCTGGCAGGCCAGGTGCAGAGCTGTGTTCCCCGCCTTGGAGAGAGGCAAGAGAAGGGAGGACACGTTAGCAACACACTTGTCCCCAGACAGACGCCAGGCAGGCCTCACAGGAGTCAATTCTCACATTCTCTGCCTTGTGACCGGTGGTCCCGGCCAGGGTGCTTCACAGTGGCAAGTACATTTACTGTGGAATCCAAACAGACAAAAGAATCACATCTGTCATAAAATCTTGGTTGCTAGTCCTGCCTCTACCACTCACTAGTGGAAAGCCACTGGGCAAGGCACTTACGAGAGCTGCAGCCCTTCTAGGGACTTCGATTTACTCAGCTTGGGGGTAGAGACCTGGCTATTCCAGTTGTGGGTTTTGTTTTTGTTTTTGTTTTTTTTACATTTTTAAAAGGGCAGGTTATGAGGTAAAGGAGAGGACAAGATGCTTGCTTGCACAGACACAAGCAGGCTGAAAGAGCTGCAGCTGTTTTGAAAAGGGAAAAAGGTTTGTGAAAAGAAAGACCTGAATAGCCACAGGAGGGCAGAGAGCTGCCTGACCAGGTTTTAGCACAGAACATCCAGTATTTGGGGAAACCCGTGGGTCTAGGATAAAGTAGGACAGCTGGTAACCCTAGGCCTAGTCATTTGAGTGGGTTCGTTTCTACCTCATTTTGTTTGTTTAAAGTGTCCCAGGAGATTTTAAAGTGCAGCCAGATAGAGAACCACTGCTAGTTTGGGTCTCAAAATGAAGAATCTGTCCATGTTTTAAACATTCCATTCCAAGTGAAAGGGCTGTGTTTCACTTAGTGTAATTCTCATCGCACACAGTAGGTTGTCTCAAAGTTGTTGGCTTTCTGAGTCATTAAGCATGTGCTGAATAAATGAGTGAAGTATTGATTTAAAAAAAAACCCTGATAGTTTAAGAAATATATCAAAATAATTTACTTTGCCAGTAAGAAATATCAATTATGCTGAAAAGCATTTGGTCAAGAAAATGAAAAACCATGTGTTTAGATAAATTACATATATCCATATGATGGACTATTACTCAGCAATAAAAATAATCACATATAACAACATGATGTAATCTCAGAAGCATGTTAAGTGAAAAGTCAGATGTGAAAGGTAGCATACTATATGAATGCATTTATATGGTCTTCTGGGCAAGGCCAAACAAACTGATGGTGGTCAAAAGATGGGAGTGGTTGAGTAGGTTGCCAACAAAGGGCATGAAGGATTTTTTTGGGGGGAATGATGGAAATATTCTGGTTTTTGATTATTGTGATGGCTACACCATTGAATATATTTGTCAAAACTACAGGACAGTATACCTTAGAAGGATGAAATTTACTGTCAAAACCTGACTTTAAAAAAATGTGATCTAGGTAGACATGCATAGCAGGCATTTTTCCTACCCTGCTACAGTTGCTGAATAAGACTTAAAGGCATACTATTTGGGTTTAAAAAAAGGAAATCCTGACATTTGTGACAAAAAGGGGTGGATCTAGAAGACATAATACTAAGTGAAATAAGCCAGACACAGAAAGATAAATACCAGATGCTCTCACTTAGATGAGGAATCTTAAAAAAAAAAAAAAATTGAACTCACAGAAACAAAGACTAGAAATGTGGCTTGGGGATACTGGGAAAATAAGGAGAGGTTGGTAAAAGGATACGAGCTGTAGTGGCAAGCCTGTAGGCTGGCCAAGCAGGGAGGCCAGGGGCCAGAAGTCAGGCTGCAACCAAGCTTCCCAGACCCCCACAAATCTTTATTCTTCCTCTGGGCTCTCTGGCGTTCCCCTGTGGTCTTGCCTCTCTGAAGTCACTCATCCTCTCGGAGTGACGCTGCCCTTATATCCTCAGCCTCCAGGCTCAGATGTGCACACTCACGCATGCCCACACCACACTCCAGGTGTCCACCATCAGGCACTCATGCCCTGAGCCTTCTGCATGTGCCTTCTGCATTAGCACAATCAAGCCCGCAGGTGATGGCTACAAAGGCCAGCGGCATAAAAAGCCCGATTATTTCATTTACCCTACAAGCTTTCATTTGAAAGTTGAGTAAGGTGTGAAGATCAAACATACACATGGTGGCTATAATTGATCACACTGTATTATATAATTACAATTTGCTAAGAGCAGAAAGAAAAAGGGAAATATGTGAGGTGAATAATATGTTGATTAATGCAAGGAGGAAATTCTTTCATAACACTTATGTATATAAAATTATCATAGTTCACTTAAAGTATCTTACAAATTGGTTTCTCAATAATACCTTCATAAAGCTGGGACAGTGGGTGGGGAAGGACTTTTCTAGAGGTCTCATTAATTTGTGGCTGGTGCAGAATGTACAAGTCCCTTTTGGGGGACAGCAGCTTACCTGTACCTCCAGCAGCCTTTGCTGCTTTACCTGAGAGGGAACTTGTGGCTCTCCACAATACTTTCAGGTACTTCCTGGGATAGAAGGCAACGTGGTAGAAAAGACATACTTCAGCTCATTTATGGCCCTAATCATTCCACAAAAGGGCTCCAATGGCTCCCAGCCTATGTTACCTTCTCCATTAACCTTCCACTTCTCAAAGTTGGTATGTACTTACCAACTCATGTTCTAGACCATGTACAGCTCGGGAGAAGGAGAGCAGCCACCAACCTGCCAGGCACTACTGGAAATATTACCAGGCAGGGCTTGCTTCTTCTCCTCAAGCTTTTGACCAGAAATAAGAGCAGAGGAAACAGCCTTCAGGACCAGATTGCAGGTCTAGAGGCAGAAATGAAGAGTTGGCTACCCCTAAGGAAGCAGGCAATTGAAGGGGCAAAGAGCCCGACTCTGACAGGGCAGGGGCCAAGACTGGGAAAGGCACAGGCATGGAGCTCTAGGTAGAGGCCAAGGTCATGTAGGGGAGACAGCTTCAGACTGAGGAGCTTTACTGGAAGGTTTCTGAGCAGAGGGGATCAGAATGGAGAAGGGACTAGACAAGCTGGTCAATTTGCTGTGACGTTTCTGAAGTGATCCAAGGACACATTAATAATAAACACAGAAATAGAGGGGCAGGTGTGAGAGAGATAAGACGTATTGAGGGACTGGAGTGGAGAGAGAGGAAAACAAGGGAGAAGAAACGCTATGGTTCTGCCGCTGTCTGCTGTCTGTGAGGGCAGGCTGGCTTGCTTAACTATATTCTAGCAGAACAATGGAAAACAGTGTTAGAGCCAGGATGGGTGAAAGGAAGTCAAAGCCACTGGAGTAGGTTCTCTGGCTCACCACGTAGATCATGCTCGCTAGGGAGTTTCAATCTCCCACCTCCCCTGCCAGGTTCAATGTGCTCCACTGTGCTCTGGCTCTGCTCAGCGAGAGGAGGCAGAAGCCCACACCATCCTCACGTATGAGGGAGGCGTCTGAGCACCTGCTGGGCCTCACCTTGTTCTTGGCAAGCACGTTAGCTCCTGCTTTAACGAGCAGCTTGGCGGACTGGCTGAAACCGTGCCAGGAAGCTTCATGCAGCGCCGTATTCCCGTCCTGAGGAACAAACAAGGGTGAGAGAGCACATTACCCCAGCCCTGACTCATCTCACTATAATCACTATATCACAGAGTATTTTTAGGGTACACCAGGTCTTTCTCAACTGGGGTTTCTCATCAAACCACAGAATCTATAAAATTATTTGAGTGACCAGCTTCTCATCTTCCAAGAAAGGAACACAATGAGTACCGTTCTAGATTCATGATCTACAACAGCTGCCTGAAGCCGTTGGGGCTTAATTCTGGGAACCCCAGTGGGAAGGGATCATGTTTAACAGAAAGTAATACCAAGATAGTATAATACCCACCCCCTCCCTTCTCCATCACAGCTTTGGGGTCTGCTTTGCTTTGGCCCCAGAGAACCCTGCAAAGATCAAGCAGATGAAGAGCCCAGCTTTCTAAATTCCAATTTCTAAATTAGACTTCCTTGTCGAAGCCACACCCCCTTGTGGGAGTCAGCAACTTTTGGTCCCAGTGCCAGCCCCAGCCCCAATGAACTTGGCTGCTGTGTCACTGTCCCTTGAAATGGCGCTGGCTTGGAAGCTGTGCTAGGAATTAGCGAGGGCGGGGCACTCGGGGCCATCATGTTGTTGAGGCTCATCTGGTTGTTTCAGCACCACAGCAGAAGGTGATCAGCTCAGTAACTGAGAGGGGCTCCTGACCACGGAGGGGGTGCCGACAAAGTAGGTGCAGGAATACATTCTCAGGGGATGAGGGCAAGTAGCGGGAGCTACTCCCCAAGCAAAGAAGATAGAGACCATTGGGATTTCTTAAAGAAAAAACTATTTTTGCATTTTTTCCCCTGCCAAGATAACTTAATAAATTAGCTTTCACTTTATCTTAAAAAACAGGTCTTAAAAAAAAGAAACAGGTCTAGGGGCCCCCACTCAGGGCCTCCACAGGTCATTATTTCTAGGCTTTTCTTCCTTTGTCATTTATGTGGTTACCTACTGCTGCCACAGAATAGGGAGGAAATAGGGACGAATAGGTTTACAAATAGGGGTTTAAAAATTCTATATTTTAAAATAGAATTTGCTAGGCTAGCACTCTTTCCAAGAAAATCTGTGCTGACTAGATCACGTTCAACCATGAGGGTATACTCAGGAATGATACCATCTTGAACAGTACACAGATCCCAAAGCAGGGTCTTCCAGCTCAAAGATCCCACTTCACCTTGTCTTGTCGGTCCAGAGCACAGCCCTCCTGGATGAGCGCGGCAATGACCTCAGTGTTCCCCACCACTGTGGCCCGATGCAAGGCGGTCTGATCCCCCTGCAGAAGGCCCAGAAGCAGGAACAGTGGTCAGCTCCCACACCACCCACTCATCACCCCCACCCTGCCACATGGGCATCTCCCATCCCCACGCAGAGCACACTGGTCCCCACAGTGAGGTGGTATTTGTGGTCTAGTTAGCAGACAGTGTATATGGAACAGAGTTTTTGTTTTCACATTCAGTAGGAACCTTACACCAACCACAGAACCACCCTTAGGAGCACAGCTGACCTCAGAATATGGATCTGGGCCTCACCTGCCACCCCAGGGGATGTTCAGCTAGACTGTGTCACATCCAAGAGCAGCCTGTGTGCCGTGCAATTAAACCATCAGTGTCTGAATCATCCCTGCCAACTGGGAAAGCTGGTTCCCCGCTTTCAGAAGAATCACTATCCAACTCTGTCAGTTAGTAGCACTTGTGATTTGATGACACTGCTTAATTTTCAGTCTGCCATGTACTGGCCAAGAGCAATGCAGGGGGTTTACATGATGTCACTGCAGGACTCCAGGGCCTGCAAGTGGTCGCTGCGTACGTAGTAGTTGATGACACCATCCTCATTGATGTATGCTGCACTTGATCCCCTTTTCTGTGATCAGATTTCCAGGGATTCCCAACCTTCTCTTTTTCCATCTGGGTGCCAAAGGTAACTGGACTTTTTCCCCTAACTGCAGTTAAGAGGACTAAACACTCCTCCAGGTAAGGCAGTCAAGACTAATAAGAGTTCTGAAGTCTCTAAGGGCACATCTTGTCGCTGCTATGTACTTAGTCAAGTAGAGAAAAATCGAATGGGGAGAGCAGGAACGTGCACTGGCCAAGGAGTCGGGAGACCTGTCATGGCAGCTTTGGGAGACACCTGTCACCTCGACAGGCCTCAGGTTCCTCACCTGTATAAAGAGGGCTGAGAGTCCCCAAGGATCCTCTTTCCTGATTGGGATCTATGATTTGGTTGGCAAGAGTTTTGCAAAAATAAAGTTTCCTGGTGGAGCCCAGGAGGAAACAAAAGAACACACTCTGGGGCATCCCCGGTCCTCAACCCAAGAGAGGAAAGGGAGACTATTAGAAGCAGAAGACACGTAGTTTTGTTTTTTTAATGAGGATGCCCCACTAACTCCAAATAAACTTAATGAAATGCTGACTCTACTTACTAAACTCCCTGGAATCTGTAACAAAAAATACACATTAAAAACAGTTACCTTGATGGCCTCCCTGGTGGCGCACGGGTTAAACACTGCACTATGAAGCTGTCTGCAGCCTCTGCAGCATGAGTTTGATCCCCAGCCAGGGAGCTATCCACATGGCGCAGCAGGCCTCTCCTGACTCACCCGCTACTTCCTCAGCAGTGTATTCAGTCAATCCTCCTGTTCTGTTCCCACTCACCCCCCACAACTCTGGCCTGTACCCCAGTTCTTATATGCTTAAATAAATCTTTAAAAAAAAAAAAGTCTGAGCTACATCAATCTGCCCTTAACAGGACTGTGTCCATGTCTCAGAATCTTTATTCACTGCTCATTTGCAAACCAGTAAGGGATTTCTGAGGAAATGGATCAGAATATTAGCTTTATCACAGATTTCATCCACTGTCCACAGCATTGCTGTCACCATCCCTCCCTTCTGCAACATTCTCCTCTCCAAGCTATCATTTCCATTATAAATCAGGTTTACTTCTTGTCCACCTGCTCAGATCCCTTATTGTACAGCACTCTTGGGTGCCATACAGTCAAAAGAGAACATGGCCACCACAACAGAAGATGTACCACACCATTACACACCCATTTCAAACATTTTGTTGTTTCCAGGTGAGGTATATTTTGTGCTCCACCCAGTAATCCTTTCAGAAACTGCCCAGGTCTTAACTTTTAGAACTTTTGTAAGAATTTCTAAGACTGCCCATTTCACTATCAGAATGGTGATAGATTTTCCCAAAATGGAACTGAAGGACAATTTATTATCACTAATAGTTCAATTATATTTGATTTAATGATACTGATAATGATAATTTTTGTTAATGCTGAGAACAATGGTGCTGCTTAAATGCTCTGTTCTCAGTAGAGAAGATGAAGCTAGTCAGATTTTTCTAATGATTTTAAGTCTTTTAATATCCCCACAAACTGCTGAGGTTCTAATTAGCACACTTGGATCAATCAGGGGGAACTTTTAACATAATAAAACTTAATCATTCTGTCTTTGCTGTGCACAAAGTGTGAGAAAAAGTCCCAAACACATAGGTCATGTCAGTCACTCTTGCCATGAAGTCCTTGCACAAAGAGCCCCCGCTGGTTAGGGCATAGTCTAACCTAAGCCTTGCTTTAGGACAGATGCTTTTTGTGTGTGTGTCACAACTTGCCACTCAGTCATGAGTTCAGGCATCTCTGGAACCAGAATATCACATTATTTAACACTTGCTCTCAGCATGAATCTACCATATTTACTTCCCTAGAGATAACTTTTCTTGTTAAACTTTGGTTCAGTGGAAGAAGCTACAGCTCACTTAGAGTTCAGCTCGGAGGAGTCAATTTTCAGATGGACTATCAAGACTCCTGGAGATCTAGTTATGTGTGTGAAGCTGCAGTGAGAACAGATTGTCCTGTGGACACAGGTGAAACTGCAGGTGACCTTTCTGACTCCAGGATACAACTCTCCTCCATCATCCTCCCTGCAGACAACTCACTCAGAGCCTGGTCCTTGTCTCAACAGCCAGATAAATACTGCTAAAGAGGCCAAAGCCACCTTTCCCCACCTTGAGGGACTGTCTGTTAGCTAGGCCATGAATGAGCTTTGCCAACACTAGATGAGGTGGTTCTGGAGGACTGAGTGATATACTTTCTCTGCAGGAAAAATCCAGCTGCTCTCAAGTTGCCAAGATGAGAATTAAAGGCTTCGAGAGATGTGGATCCTAAGTAAAGGGGCCATGTCAGGCTTTCCATGTCAGGAACAACACAACAACACAATGTCCTCCCCAGAACACAATAATTGAACACTCTCAACTGACAGAGGGTCAAATTACTTGTCAATCAACATTTTCTCCTATAAAACTAAAATTTACTGTTGAAATAATTCCTCATTGAAACATGACACAGAAAAGAACAAAATGTGCCTTCGATTCTTACTTATTAACAGACCCAAACAGCAAGTTTGACATAATCTTTTTCCCCATGTGATCTAAATTTACCAGGAAATTCTGAAACTTTGGGAAATCATGCTGAATCCCTCAACGGTGTTTGTTCATTATTTATTCAGTGATTATTTATTGATCTCTCTAATATACTCCAAGGGCATGGCATCTAATTCTCCTACTTTATTGATAAGAAAACCAAGGCCTGGCACAAGCTGATGCCTAGCCCAGGATAACCAGATAATTCAGGGCAGTGTGTTTGGGACAGATTTCAACTGTCAAGGCTCTTGGCAACTTACCACCCACCCATCAAACTCTTTCCAACCTGTGAAGTCAATTAACTTTAAGACAGGCCTTAAAGAATATCAGCTGACTCTGAGGGGGTGGGGCTGCCTCTATGTAGTATCATCAAGCTAACTGCTTTAGTGCAGTGTCATGGTCACTGCAGGCTCCCAAGAATCATTTGATGAATGATTAACTACAAAGAAGCAAATACAAAGTGCTGCAGTTAGAAACTTGAAGAGCCAGCAACCTTGCAGTTTGGCACTTTGATTTGGAACATAATGACCTGCTTGCATAAATGCCAGCTCTCAATTTTTCTAAAACATCAGAGTTTCTTAGTTTGGGATTTGGCACTAAAACTCTGTTTTGAAATACTTGTAGTTTTCTCTCCTATATGGGGAACAAGAATGAGCACAGTGGAGATAGATGCCAAAGATCAGCTCGTGGAAGAAACCCCAGTCATGCAAGGGTGGAACATCCCCCCTTTGGGAGGAATCCCTCCCAGAACATATCGGCAGACATGGTGCAAGGAAGCTCAAGATAGGGTAAGTGCACAAAGCAAGTTGCTGACCTCTTTTTCTCTCTCTGATCTTCTAGGGGTCTTCCTAGCCTTTCTTCTCTGGTTTTTCTTATGTTTTTCTTCCTTTATGCCTTTTACCATGGTCACAGTGTCCTGGACTATTTCTGAGGTGGGGGCCATGTGACTGCTCATTGACCCATCAGACATGGTGTTAAAGCTCCAATGAGAGTTGGCAGGATTGGTGAGAAGCAAGAGGGAATTTGTTCCTGAAGTTGCATATTCTAAAGAACTGGTTTCCACAGGTTGAAATTCATAATAATCCCACTCCAGGCCACTGGAGGTCATTCTTCAACTAATTCTCAGTCCTTACCATGACCTAGAGAACAGTATCTGTAGGATATGAAGTTAGGAGTAAATTCTTCATAACATTAACATTCTTTACTTCTACCCATCATCCGAGATAGTTAACTTCTGAAATGATTTTTCCAAAAATTACTCTTCTTCTTTGAAGAATACCCATAAAGAATTTTCTTCCTCAGATTCTTGCATAGGTTTTAAGGCTGATCATCAATAGGCATGGTAAGTATATAAAAGATTGACATGAACCATATTCTGGCAAATGCACTATTTCAAAACTAATGTGTCAGTTCTACCTTACCCATTTCCATCTATTTTCATAATTGATTTGTAGTTGTGTTTTCATTTTGCTTTAAGTTATCTGGGAGAAGCAACGTATGCATTAACTGAGTAGGACATGGAAAAGATGCAAGAAAATAAATAATTCCAATAAATGAAAAGTGTGTTCCTGTTTAAAAATAAAGTTGGGCATGGCAGACCACTCCTGTCTCGCCGGCTGCTCCCCTCAGCAGTGTATTTCACTCAGTCTGCCTGTTCTGTTCCCCACTCTGTCTCTGGTGAATCCTCTCACCCTCCCGCACATTTGGCCTGTACCCTGGTTCTTGTATGCACAAACAAAATAAATCTTTAAAAAATTAAAAAAAAATAAAGTTGGCTTTCCTTCTGCAGATATATCACTCATTGGCTACCTGTTTTACTTACTATCTTGCCTGATATAAACAGCAGCAGTCTAGGAAGTTAGAATGGCTTCTGCTATGTAAGAACACAGAGACACTCAGAGCTTATGACATGAGACTGGAGGGTTGGGTTGGGTTAGCATGCCTGGCATTGTGGCCTTGCCACCGTGGCAAGCAAGGGCTTTAATTACGGAAAGAGAAGACCACATGTACCCAAACATGTCTGCACCAGCAAATCAATGCCCCACCTTTTCTGTGGTGAGACTTACTTTCTTTCCCTATATTTTCACTTCTGACTTCTAAGGATATGATATAATCAGGAATGTTATTATGGCTACAGTGCAGGAAAACAAAAAAAAAAAAGGCACCATGATCAAAGGTAGGAATCAACAGCTTAGAGCTAAATCAGCATCTTTTGAAAATAACATCTTTGATGACCCAAATAGGTTCCAAATATAACCAGAGATTTCTGAATGACATTGGCCAGCCTCTGCCTATGTATAAAATAATGGTATATTCAGTTATTTCTTTGCAAATGCCATCCTTTTCACCTGTGTGTTTGCCAAGTGTTAGGACCATTAGACAGAGAACCAAAGAAAACCAGAAGCAGTTTGGTCCCCCACACCCTAGCACATCTAAGGGTCTTAAATTTGACAGAGTTATGTAACCACATTACTGCATATGTTATTCCAGTAAATCTGGGAGAGTTATGATAAAAGCTAACTTTCAGATTTTGTGTCCCTCACAAAAGTTCTTATTCTTAAATAGAGTTAGAAACAGTTTCTGAAAAGTTTCCAATCACGTTGTCCTAATAATTCATTAGAGGACAATTTACATCATCTTGCCTATATCCCCTTCTTACAGAATCCTTCTTGCCCAAAGACCCAGTCGGGCAACCTATGTGCTATGCGATTCCCCTCCACCAATCACTATTGATTGACTCAAAATGGACACCTGACCTCAAAGAAGCCAGTCCAAGTCCCTCTCTAGATAATTTGAATGAAGAGACCCAGAGACTGATTCTCAATAATGGCAGAGCACCAGAGTGAACTCTCACTGGAGGATTTCTTCTTTGATTCCATGGGATCAGTGCCCTCTTTTTTTTTCTTTGAATAGGTCCTTTTAATTAAAAGTACAATGACTAAGAAATCAATGTGAGAAAAGGGAAAAATTAAGTCCCATCTTTTTTCCAGTGATAACCTTGGGCAATGACATATACTTTCAGCAGGTTTCCACTTGAGCGAGAGAGAGCGCGCGCGCATGTGCGTGGTCAAGCTTAGCTTCATACTAAGACAGGATACAAGGAAAATGCTCTTTGAAGCTCTGCATTTGAATGATGCTGGGTAGGAATGAACCATGATAAAAACCACTACCTACTCTCAACTCTACTCTGCTATCGAGAATGGGCCCCGGATCAGGTCTTCAAAGAGGAAGTTCTTCCTACCATGGGGACCAAGATGGAGATGAAACATATGGGGATAGCATCTACTACCCTCCCATCTCCTAGCTGGTTACACTTTTTACTGTGGGTTTCTAGGCATCCAAGCTCCCCTGCAAATCCCTCTTCTAATAGAATGATGGTTTCTACTCACATCATCCTGGACATCAAGGTCACAGCCAGCCTTCAGCAGGATCTGGACCACAGAAAGATGGCCCTTATTGGCAGCAAGATGCAGGGGGGTCCGGCCGTGCTGCAAATGCAAACACACTGATTTCAGAACAAGATAACAAAACCACTACCAAGGAGCAAGTTTTCACACAGTGCCCCAATCCCTACCCCTTTGGTTTGGAAGGAGATTCTTATGGATTTACCAGAATTCAACTTTGCCTCAGTTAAACTCGACTATTAGGATTATAAGTCATGAAAAAATATGCTCAAAATATGAAGATTTCCTTTAGTGCTTAAATTTCAACTCTCCACTTATCACACCAACAAGTAGGAAGATAAAGGGTTTCAAGTTTTTTTGAAGATTTCCCACTGGTGCTAATACTTGGGCATGATGAAGTGGTCACAATGAACCTGATGAGGCAAGAGATGGGAGAACAATAAAAGGTCAAGCTGTCCTAGTAAAATTGACTTAGTACTCAAACTTGAAACAGCTGGCCAAACTGATCAGAACGGGTTCTCCCTCTTTTTAAAAACAAAACTATAAATACAAATTTACAATATTTCAACTTCAAACAATATTTTTAAAATGCACACATCCACCAATCATTTTAAGATGGCCTTATATAAACATGGATATTCCTTGGGAAATCTTCCCAGATTTCATTTCCCCTTTGACCCCAAAGGTGACTATCCTTTTAGATTTGGTATTCATTATTCCTTTGACTTTTTGTTGTTTTTACTGTTTGTAGCCAAAAACTATGTGTGTGTGTTTTACTTGTTTTCAAGCTTTCCATTTATGGTATTAAACTCTACAGTATCATTTGATAATTTTTTTTGGTCCAACATTGTATTTGAGTTCCTTCTTCACATTGTCACCTGTAGTTCTAGTTCATTATTTATACATTGTCCTACCAATCGGCATCCAGGCAGGTATCCAGAACACATCTGTGTGCACCTGAGTAGGCTTCTCAGGCCTGTGGTTGGCCTTCAACTGCCCTAAGCACACGGCCTGGGTGATACACAGAATAGTATCAAGTGTAAATCAGCTTATATGCAGTGAACTGACTTTGCCAAACTCGGAATTCTCCAAATTCTAAAGGAGACATAATGTTCCCTTGGCTTGCTCCCTCCAGTTTCACCATGAAAAAACAGTTCTATTCCTTGCTTCAAATGCTGTTTAACTACTTCCCCACTCAAGCTGAAACATAACCCTGAAAATAAGGGTCTCACATGGCCTTGAATCCTTTCTAGCACTAATAAAATGTCCCTAAGATCTTTATAAATATTGTAGCAGGATAAATCCATTTGCTCTCTAAAAAAGTCAGTTTGCATGGGTAACTAACCATGGAAGAAAACAGATATAGCAGACAACAAAAGCTTCTTAATTTCATGAAATGAAATGCAGTCAAAGCAGTAGAATGATACTGGAAAGAGGTCAGAGCTCACTTTAAAATTAGAATTCTTAATTAAGAAAAACGTTACTCCCAAGAAAGTAGCTATAAAAAACCTTCATAAAAAAGGTAACGTCTGAGATGAGATGAAATGACCTTCCTTGGCTGGCAACTGTGCTCAGCTCATGCTACTTAACCTTGATTCTTTACAGGAAGTATCCACGGTTGATCATGTGGAGCAAGACAACTGGGTTCCACTCACTGGACCTGGACCCATGATCCATTTATCATCTGGTGTCCCTTTAGCACATTGATTTACTGAATGTCCTTGACAAGAATGGTAGGTCCTTGTTTGTCCTTGTCAAGGACATCAGAAAAGTGACCTTCACAAAGGATGTAAGTCACTCTGAAACACAGGAGACTCATCACCTTTATGAGCAGAAAGATGTGTGCTGTGAGGGAGGCTGACAGGGTGGTGGGACAAGAGCCACTTCTGAGCAACTGGAAAATACAGGCAATGGTGGGGAGAGGTAACCCAGAGGGAGGCTGGAAAAGACGCCACAGGCTGAGGAGTCACTGGTGTCAGAAACAGGGAGTCCTAAGGAACATCCTCAGCAGCCATGAGATGTTAACTGGTGGGAAACTGACACCAAAGGAAGCAGAGGGACTGCTCAAATGAACATAAACAATCAGAAGGCAGGATTAGAAAACACTGCTGTGGCTCGCTCAAACAGGTCACATCTAAGAGGGTGCTTCAGAGACTATAAGTTAATAACAAGATGGCCCTGGACTGGAGGCACCTTCCTAATCCCAAATGGGCAGGGAACACCCTCTGTGGGGGAAGGAAAGTGAGAGAAGCTGGAGCTGTGCAAGACTAGTTCAGATCCTCTCTGACATGTGCGATTCTGCACACCACGCTCTCCTAAGCCCATTTTGTTATTTATGACATAGGGAGAATGTACTTGAAACGGGATGAAACAGCACCCACCATCTAAGATGAATTCCCCTTCCCTTCAATTGTCATCAGCTATCACTCGTGAAAACACCCCAGTTCTTCCTTCTCCTTGACACCCCCATACCTTTGTCTCAGGAAGACAAGTGAGATATTTTCAATGGCAAAACAGATCCAGGTGAAGAGGTGGCTCCTGGATCACTTGACTAGACAGGTGGCTCTAGTGGGACAGTCGAGTTTCCTATAAGCCAGTCCTGATCCACTGATCCATCTCCATTTTTTAAAAATAGTCAAAGTCTTTTTTCCAGACCCATCATGCCATCAATTCACAGGGAGCGCATTCCAGGGGTTCAGGCTCCTTCCCATGGTTCTCAGTATGCCTCTCTGTGGGGAGCAGGCTGGCGCTTCTGCTAGAACAAAGTGCTTCCTTTTTTTTTCCTGATCCTTTTCTTTCACATATTTCAAGAAGCCATCTCAGCTCTTAGAGTGCTTAATATGCTCAGTACAAACACTGACTCTCTTGGCAAGAATCTTGCCCTTTAGTTGTTTGTTTACAACAATGCCAACTGCATGTTGGGTAACATTATATACTCTTCAGTTTTGCCATGGTAACATTTGGTAACAAAGGGCTTTCCTTTTTGAACAGTGCTCATCCCTTTGATGTCTGTGATATCACCTTTCTTGTGGATTGGCATGTATGTGGCCAGAGGAACACCTCCATGTTTTCTAAGAGGCCTAGCGAACATACTGCGGGTGCCTCTCTTCACCTTTCTGTTGATCATTTTGGCAACTTACTGGAAGATGGTGGTTCTGACCAGATGCCCACTTCATTTTTTAAATACAGTCCACAGTTCCCTTCTCCAAAGGATTCTCCCTGAATTATTCCTGGCCTGTCGTCCCCATTCCCTCTTAGGAAACCTGCACATTCTTAGTGTCACCAAGGGCACTGGTTTCTCCTTCCACTAGGCTGTGATCTCCTCGAGGGCAGGGTTATGCTTTCCATGACTGATGAAGCAAGTTGATTCTGCGGCATATCAATGAGGTTCTGGTGTTCCTTAGCCACAGGGCAGACTGGGGATACCAGGACACTGGAGAAAATTTCACAATTCCAGGCTTGACCCCCAAGGAATGGAGAGCCTGGAGAGACAGCAGACTCCAGTTTCTAGGATATTTTGGCCCTGAAGAGGAAATGTAACCTCCTGGGAGCCTCATGAGCATTTAAGCAGCTACATCAGTGACACAGGGCTGTGAGGAGAGTATGATCCCCCACCCCCAATGTCTGACTCAACTTTTGCTATCTGGTAAAAGGGTGGCAGTGGTAATCAGTGCACTGCTTAATTAAAGCTATCCACTCCTGTCCCCTGGTCTTTCCTAAAGATAAGAACATCCCCTTCACACACACACCCACACACACATGTACACACACACACACACCACCACCACAGAAGGAGAGCAAGAAAGAAGCAGAAATGTACTTGGTTTTCCAGAACATTCTGTAGTGAAAAATAAAGTAGCACATTTTGGGGGGTAGCTGTTTCCACTCAGCAGACAGGGATACCCCAAGGTCACATGTGACAAGTGGGGAAGGTTGCAACCCCCCCCTTAATGTGAGGGGGTAGATAAAAACTGATCTTGAGAGGGACCTTTGCATGACTTAGACTCGAGCATGCCACTGTTCTCATCTCCATGCTTCTAGGACCGACGGTGGATGAAATAGGACAGAAGAAAAGACTATGTACTATGAATAATTAGATGTTTTTAAAGCATCCATTTGTTTTGGTCCTACCCCAGTTATCCTAAAAGACCAGTTGAACCTAACTCAAGCCAGGTCCTGGTGGGTCCAGGGAGACCAGTAATAATGAGGATAAGACAAGAGACAGCAGCAGCTAACACAGGGGAAGCTGGCTACATGACAGGCACTACCTTGGTACATTTATATGTATTAGTCATTCAGTTCCCCAAACAGCAGGTCACTGGAGTCTGGATTCACCCTAAGGGGTGTGACCCCAGTCCCCTTGCTCTTACCCCCACTCCACCTGCTGCCTAGCTTGTGCTGTAAGAATGGGCTCTCCCCTGGCAGAGGGGCTCCTTGTCTCTCAAGAAGTTTCTAGGCTCCCAGATGCTGAACTCTGGGGTAATTCAGAAATAACCTGGTCTCCTTAGAATCTCCAGGATGGGAGGGAGGTTTTCCACTCTCGCCGCAAAGTTAATAACCTGGGGCGGATGGTCTGTCTACCCACCTAACTGCCACCGGAGCCTACCCTGCAGGGATTCTGGCTCGACTCTGCGGTGGGGCCCAGGCATCCGTTGTTCAACAACCTCCCCAGGTGATTCTGATGAGATACCTGGTTGAGAACCGCAACACAGAGAAAGCGGGGCCAGAATAATCCTCCCTGGAGCAACCACAGGCCCCCAGGAGAAACCTGTCTCGTAGGCCTGTCCCAGCAAGAGCCATTCCTCCTGCTACATTCTTCATGATGCTCTCTTCCCCACCTCTTGGTATAAAACCCTAAAATGCTGCATCATCACAACCCAGAGCTTCCCTCCCATATTTTAAGAGTAGAGAGCAGAACAAATTTTAAAACAAAAGCAAACCATCTATAATCCTACCACCCGTTACAACTATTATCATTTTATCTGATCTTTACCAATGCATCTTTTCTAGTGATGCTTTTGCAGTTATATTTATAAGTCACATAAAAGGATCGTGCTTTTTGCCATAATATTATTCCTTAAACC